TGTAAGTTGAGTCCATATGTAAACAATGGACACAGGTATATAAGAAAATATTCTTGGTACAATAAACCGGCTAGTTTGAATCACTCAGGTATTCAACACGTATTCAAGTTTGACTTATGTATGTCCATCTGTATCCATCTTAACCTGAATATTAATTCGTCAGCAGTATTTTGAGTGTTGTGATTTGTATTGCTGTATTGGTCCTGATTGATTTTGCTGTCAGTAGTCCACCGAGTCTCTCTTCCACCATTCAGCTACTCAATGTTGATCTGTTCTGAACACGCTGGACTATTTTTTTTTGCATAATATCTGTCGGAATGGGAGAAAAGTTAAGGCACCCAGAAAAGATAAGTGTACTTCTAGGGTTATAGTGCTACTCGAGATGACTGGTTCATCAATTGCGAAGTTTCTAGGCCAGTTTGAAGCTGGAGATTCTATTTAGAAGGACTATAAAAACTTTTCATTTAAACCTTTCAGCTCAGAAAATACAAGACTACCAAAAACATCCATTTGAGGTACAATTCTCCGCCATTTTAAAATAAATAAAGACAGAATTCTCTAACTCAGCTATACAAAATATTGCTACTAGACACAAGTAGCTTAGGTATAACTTAATGCATGATTGGTGTTTGAAACGTATAGCTCTCATATAGCTTCATTTACTTATTCCAGAGTAATGCCTGATATGAAGGTTGTACTCAGGTACACAATACGGAAAGCTTTTTGCATGAAACTGTCTGACTTAACAGTCTAATAACTAAATTAAAGTTTAGAAGTAAAAAAGTTTAAGGCACGCTGAAATCTTGAGCATAAAGCATACTACTAATCTGTAGTCTCATCAAGCATGTAGTTGGGTTTGAAGCTGAAACAACACTGTCTTTGACAGCTGTGTAGAAAAACATTTAGGTCAGACTAGACGAATTGTCACATACAACCACGAATAGTTAAATACCTTAAATATCCTTCGCCTTTAATTTTAATTTAATTTAATTTTTGATTACAACTTGATTCCACACTGTATTTTTGGTACAAGTATGGAATTTTCAGCATGGATATCGGTAGCCCAAATTTTGCAGGCCGACCATAGATATCAGGTGTGCGTCGGCAGGGGGTCGAACCTCGGACCATGTGCATGGTCGGCGAGAGTCAAATAACAGATTACAGAGCACCACTATATAGTATGTTTGATCCAATTAGCTTTCACATCTGCAGCATAAATAGCTCAGTTTTGAAAAAATCTAAGTCAACTCCTTGCACTCTTGTCGAGATTTCTTCAATCACCAGACCACCACAACTAAGCAGTTTTTCAAGTAATAAAATGAGATACTTATAAATCAAACACAAGGTTTTGTTCTGTCTATCTATAGAAGGGTGGAATTAAGTATTACAGTATACCAAGTTACTGTTTGGAAAATTCAGACACATGATTCCACCTATTACAGTTAATTCAATTTTCTTTCTCCTCTACGTTTATCTATACTTGTATGAAGTGTGACAACTTTTGCAAAGTTTGCTTTGAAAATTCATTCAAAGAGGTATGGATACATAATTATATATATATATATGTACCTGATTTTTTTGTTCATTTTTGTGTATTCAGAATTATATTCCAGGTTGTTGACAGTTGTGCTGAGTCACCCTTGTTACAAGTATCCTGTGTGACCTTAATGAATATAGATTCTCTCATAAGTCTCTGTTTCCATTTGTTCATATTAGTTTTCAGAATACAAACATTGTTTCAACGGATATTGTGGTTTTTGTCCCATACATGTTTACGGGCAGTAATTTTGCTCGAATATTGCCAAAATAACAAAAACTTATCACATTGTGTGTAAACCATTGAAATATAATTATACTTTATTTTAACTAATCCACCATGCTCAAACTTTTTACACTCTCGGTAATGTTACCCAGTGGCTGTTGAGGTCATATTGATCTATGGAAGAAACTGCATTGAAATACACACAGATGCCTCGTTTTAGGTTAGAAGAGAAAACTACAAGTTCAAAAGCTTCCTTTTGGATTTATATATTTTTCTCAAAAAATCCTATTCAGTCGTTATTCCAGAGAATGGCATTCAGAGTCCTTCTACCTGTCCTTTACTCCTTAATAAAAATTTATCCAATAAAGTTCAAAGACAACAATTTTACTTAGAGATTCAGGAGTTGATAACTCCCCTCCCCAGCGCCAATCAAAAACATCTGCGGTCAGGTACAATGAAGACTACACTGCAACACTGTTCAGTGGTGGTCTATCATCGGTCAACACTAAACCTTGCTGTTCGCTCTTCTGTGATTAAACAGTACACTCTGTTCAATCGGAAACAAAATAAGCCACCTCTGTAGCAGCTGAGTAGTAAAGCTCGTATCTGCGCCTCTGTAGAATTATGATTGCAGCCTTTCAAAATGTATCATAATAAAATTCATCTATTTTACTGAATTATCAATCTTATCTAAATATGAAATATTTATTCCGATTTATTGAAATTAATCCTCCTCATGTTGCCAACCTAAGTCCGTTAAGATATCTGCAACGAAAGTCTTTCATTCCTCCAAAATTACCAAATTTAATTCCACCGAAAAATCCTCGTAAAAAAGACTGACTGATCAGCAATTTTATCTGAATAAATTTAATGATCAATCAGAAAAACAAGGAACAGGATTCAGATTATTTAAAACAGCTGGCAAATGTTCCTTTGTTTAAATTGGACTATCCATTTGGAAATACAAATGGTTAATACTATTAAAATAAGCATAATAAAACTTGTGAACATACATCATTTTTGTTTTCACTGGCTCATGAATCATTTATTGTATATTTTTGCGTCTCGTAGTACCCCTTCTGATTGTGGTACCCAAACTGATGCGTATACTTCATAACTTAGATATTACTGTATTTCTTTTATGTTTTAGATACTTACCATTAGAGTGTAATGGCACACTTATCTAACTCTGTAGATAAACTCAACATAAATGAATACATCATAAAACTCTAATTTTCCCGCTTTCATAACTGTATTTTCTCAGTTTCGCCTTTTTCCTACGGTGTTTCAGAGTATATCTGCTGTGGTCATTTGCTCAGTGTGTTTCCTTCTTTCTTATTTGGAGGTGAAGATGTTCCACGACATCGGAATGTCCATACAAAGGAAACTAAGCAAGGCTCTGCTTAATGCCGAATAAAATTAGGAATCCTCAGTAGCCTACACGCAGAGTTTATCAATGCTAACAAACATGAACAGTGTCCCTACGTTTTTATTACCGCTACGCAGGTGAGCTTGATTTTATGTCAATCACATTCATCTATGCGTTTATCCAGGATCCACGTGTAGCAACTAATTCAGACTAAATGATCAAAATGTACTATTCACAGAAAATCCTTTATTTTTCATATTTTTCCCTTACATGCTGTTGTTAACAATTTGTAAATACTTGTGTATATGCTCATATTTTACTTGTGCCTAGTGTATTAAAACGGGGAAACTTAGTGTCGTGTTGTTTGTCTGTCTCTGTTGGTAAGCTGAGTATGTTAGCCAAAAAACTCTCAATATGGATATATCATGTAATATATTATTAAATGAAAATTTCTATTACTTTGGTTGTCTGACCTTAGGTGGCTAGAACAAGGAAGCAATCTACCCTGAATGCTTACGGCATTAATTCACTGAAAGCAGTCTATAGCTGAGAAGTCGAAAATTAATTCTCAGTAAAAGCTCCATGTAGAAAACTTTGACCTTAGAAATCATGTGTAACAACAGAAGACAAGGGCCAGGCTACAGATCATTTATTGAGAAAATCAACAGACGTTTATAGATTTTTATGTACATTATTATAGGTTATTGTTAGCAGAGAAACAGCGTCTTCTGATTGGTTGATCTCTCGCCGAAAGTTAATCTTTCATCTCTTTGTGGCCGTTTCTCTGAAGATCAGACCATATATCTGCGAATCGTATCTGCCCACACAAAGTCTTTGTTCTTGTTTTTCTCATGAACAGGACTTGGGAAGTTAACATTGATGTAAACTGCTGTCTACCGATTTCGGCTAACAGACAGCTCTCATCACACATGTACGATATTACTGATACATATCAACAGGTTGGTTACAATCAGTATTCGTGACTTAAATGCAGATGACTTCGAGACTGACTCACAAGAAAAGGTGTCAACAGTTTGGTGCTGACCAATTATCAGTATCATAACAACCAACGAATACTTTACCTGCTTATCATATGTGTCAACTACATTTAACAAGTGGTTTATGCCAAACTAACCATCTACTCTAATCTCTTTGAAAAAATACTTATTAGAATTACAAAAAAAGGTTGCAGTTTATAGGTTCACAAAGATTTACAGTAGGTTATGGTTAATATTTCCAAATGCGACCTAATCAGTTCTTAAGAAAAGTCAATACTAGTCCATTATATTAATTCATTTGAAACTATAGTATCAACTGTAAGTGAATGAACTGTCCCTCCCTACTAATATATACTTCCAGATAGTAATAATGATAATAACAAAAATAACAGTAATAATAGTAACTATCTATTAGATAATAGCGTAACTGAAAAATCGCATTTTATTAAGACGAAGGAGGTTCGTTGATAGTTTAGTTGTAGAACGCTTTCCAACCACTTACCTAGTCGAGGTCCAATTCACGGCCGACGCATTCATAAACTTCTCCAAGTCTGTAGTAAGTCCAGTAGAGAGGGAAGGTTGGACGTGAGATTAACAACCCCACCCCTTGAAAACAATAACACCTCAAGGAGCCCTATGTTCCACTCGAGATGAAAAACCGAAGGATTCATAATTCATCTCAACTTGTTATACTCAGAAATGAACATTGTTCCTTTTGCTTTTCCGATATTTTGTACAGAATGCGACCTGCTGTCAATTCCTGTCCTTCGATGTGATGAAAACAACTTTACTTTCAATTAATTCACAACGAATTTCAGTACCTTCACAAACCGTATATATATATATATATATATATGTCAAAATCAAATTTCTTCAGTCTTCATTATGCTCAGTATTTTGCATATAGCAATCCATTCGGTTGGTATTTTCATTCTGGGTTACTTATTCGTCTATCAAACAAGATGAAATGATTATTGTCCTAGAGTATTCAAGCTTCAGCCATTCCAAAAGTAAAAACAAAGTGGCTGGTATCTGTTCTTTTGACGAACTTCAGATATATATTAGACACTAGATAGTATATTATTTAAATATGTTAGGGAATCGATTGGAAAGAAATCGATAATGTTCATTCTATAACGTACTCCAGACATATATTTTATAACATTACTCATATAATAGTCTTTACAGTACTTGTATTATTTGATTTTTACTTTGATATTGTTTCTCTTACTTATAACTGCTTTTACGTTGTAATTTTTTATAAGTATTAAGTAATTACATTGTATAACTCTTAAACATTTTATTATATAGAAAGGATTAGTTATCCACTGTTGATCGATCTCATTATAATTATAAATTTTCAACATGGCTGCCTCATATTTTCTTTTTGCAATGTACACAAGGTACATCCCATTGTCAATTATACAAACAGCAGTAAACAGATATCTGGAAAATGCAAAGAATAAATTAGACAAATATTTAAACCAGAAATATGCGACAGCATCAAATGTAATAATTGAAAGTTTGCCTAGCATTAGTGGTTTGCCTCTGTCAGCGTTTTTGAATCGTATGCTAGGTATTGCACCATTGGTTCAACCAGCAAATACATCAATTGAAAATATTCTAGGTGAAATATGTGAGAAACTCTCCACCCAAGATGTGGAAGCTTCTGAGACAATTAGAAAAACTCCGTATGATGAGAAAATTAGTGCACTTCGCACACTTTGTCAAATTTCTGCCAATCCTGATAATCGTCAAGCATTTGAAGAATGGTTAAATATGCACAGCGGTTTAATGAATGAATGCATCGCCAGCACTCTATCTACGGAACATCGTGACTTAATACAAGAGGCATGTTATACTGTTGCCTATTTAGCGCGTGTGTACAGATTTAAAATGTATGATAAAATTGAAGTTGTAATAGCCACGTTGGTCAGAACATTAGCAGTATTATTATTACCATGGGAGAATTATGTTGAACAGTACCGTGAAGCTAAAGAACGACACAACGATATGGAGTTAGCGCGTGGACGTTCCATTTTATTTCATTATCCACAAATGCAGTGTTCATTTTCTGAAGCAAGTCACCGTGTAATAGGTTGTATTTATTATACACTAGGCGATCTGATATTTAGTTTACCATCGCCAAAATTAATTTGTTTTTTTGAATGTCGTATATTTCGTCGTAAAGAAATGACAAGGACTTTACTCTTCACTATACTGCACGTGATTATATTAAATTTGTCTGAATTGCGCTCAGAAGCTGAGAAACTATCAAGTGAAGAAGGAACAATATCTGTTACAGAACCATCAGGTGGTAAAAAATATCAGATTCATAGTGAGGCTATGTGGAATGAACTACCAGCAAATCTGTACTCAGATATAATACGAGTTTATAATGATCGTAACCGAACGAATAAAGTTATGATAACTGAAATTATGGCTATGCTTAGGGCTGAGGCACCAGAAAAACTTCCATTATTTGAAGAAGCAACACTGAAAGCATTAGAACTATACACTGGTGGAAGTGCTGGACGTGTCGGTGAGACTTATCAAATAGGCAGAACAGCAGGTCGAGAAAATGATGTCTCTGGGACAAGTAGTGGACGGCGTGGCAGATCGAACCTAACACATGATACAAGTGGACTGACGACAAAACCTACTGCAACATCACAGATAACAACTGATAAGGCTAGAAAAAGTGGACATAGTTCAAATGAACTATCTCTAATTGAGGCACAGAAAAAGTCTGATGACGTTTCAGATGAGTCGAGTGACTTCAGTACCTCTTCAAACACATACAGTACAGTATTTACAAGAACCGATAGTCATCTGCAACGAAAGTCTTTCATTCCTCCAAAATTACCAAATTTAATTCCACCGAAAAATCCTCGTAAAAAAGACTGACTGATCAGCAAATTTTATCTGAATAAATTTAATGATCAATCAGAAAAACAAGGAACAGGATTCAGATTATTTAAAACAGCTGGCAAATGTTCCTTTGTTCAAATTGGACTATCCATTTGGAAATACAAATGGTTAATACTATTAAAATAAGCATAATAAAACTTGTGTAAACTACTTGTTTGTATATTTGTATATATTTTACAATGGGTAAGTACTGCGGGTATAGAAAACGTCCTCATATTGTCTACATTTTATTCCAGGATAGAATTATCATACAAGATGCTGACTAAATATATGTATGTACACCAATAAATAAACAAAACATCTCAGGGATGCGTTGTGCTGCAGTGTATATTTACAAGAGTTGAAGAATATGAATCTAGTTACACACCGCGAATGATATGGTTGTTAAACTTTATAAGTGTAATCGACTGAGATATGTATTCACAAATGAGCCGTTGTCGTCATAGTAGTAGTATACAGAATGACTTTAGGTGATTTGATGAAGACATTATTATTTCCTTTAATTCCTAGAGGAACATAGGGCTTCAACTGCGCGTCTCCATTGCATTCGGTTTTCTGCCAACTTTCCCATCCCGCTCCAAGTCTGTCCACATGCTTTCATCTCCTCTTCACATGACCTCCTCCAAGTCACCCTCACACTGACGACCAACTCGCCGCTTCCCTTTCGGTCTGGTTCCACTCGAGCAATGGCTTGTCTAGTGATGTCACTTGATGGTTTCCTCAGCGTATGGCCAATCCATCTCCATTTCTTCCTGCATATTTGTTTCACAATCGGTTCCTGCTGGGTTGGTTCGCTCATTTATAGATATCCTGTTGCTGATCTTTTCTGGCCGGCCATCTGATTTGAGTATTGAGCGAAGACAGCTGTTAATGAAGATTCGTAGTTTGTTTGAGATGCTCTTTATGACGCACCAAGTCTCTGATCCGTATAGTAGCACTGACTTTACATTGGAGTTGAAAATCCGGATCTTATTTTTGATGCTGAGTGCTGTTGACTTCCACACAGACTTAAGAGTAATGAAAGCTTGTTTGCTTTTCCTATTCCGCCGTTGATATCCTCGTCAGTTCCGCCTGTAGTTGAAACGATGCTTCCCAGGTAGGTAGGTTGGTGAAGAAGGTTGTTTCTTTCAGGTTCCTCCCATTTATGCTGGCTGATTTTTGTCTGTTGTTATTGGCCAGTGATGAAGACATAGTGCTAGTCATATGAGTCAGTCAAAGATTACTAGGGCTACATATATGAACCATATGGACTGCTAGGTGAGGTATCTTCAATAACAGGATTCAATAGTCAAGTACTGATTATGCAATATCAACAAATCAATATTGATACTTTAGTATCATTTACAGAACTTTACCAGCTTTTAAGAGGGTATTTACCAGGAGGAGAATTGTAGTTGAGACGAAAATGACTAAGCAAAAACCTGACAGCGGCTTTCGGTGATATTATTGTTAACTGTGATAGCATAAAAAGCATTTCTACTTTTCACGCTTTACTTACATTCATTCCATAAACGGCTTGAAGTTTAAGCTAGTATTGTGTAGAATCCTTAGTCTTTTTATTCTTTGATAAACTGAAGTACATCAGAACCTGAACATTAAACTAGCAGACCTGTTCGTTCTCTTGTTCAAGTTAAATTGACTCAAACATAGTGACATCTTCACCAACTGAGGTTTCAGCTAATCAGTATTCTTTAACTGGTCTTCTAAATAATGAAGCATGTAGTGTTGTGTTTTAGTAAGTGTTATCAAACTCCAAAGAAGTACATATAAGAGGACGGAAATGTAATAACAACACAAGGAAAAAACATGGGTTAATTAAATAGAGTTTTATGGAAACTTGAAACATATATGAGAAGAAATGGATACACCTGTAGCATTGTAGATGATTTTAAGTGATATCACCAACAGTCTTTAACCATGTATTCTTTGCATCCCAAGGACCCTAGCTAAGCAGGCTACACTTGCCTACATGGCTGAGACCACCTGTCATTAAATTCATGGACCAGCATTATATTTCTGTCTGATTACATCTCGTTTTTTTCCAATCTGATTAAACTTCAGCAAACACTGATGATCGGGGAAGATAGTGGATTAGCATGACTAAGACGTGTTCTGGAAATATTGATTGACTCAGTTTCACAATCTGGTCAATCGACTTTCCCTCTTCACTAAATCAATACTCTACGCCCAACTTGATTGTCAATTACCATATTTCTTCTTCATTCAAAATGAACCTAGGCACCTGTAGTTAAAAACCATTATTCTTTTCACACTTTCTATTTGCAAACATCATAGTTCCACAGATGTAGGATAGGGTGAAATGAAGGTCCTTACTACAGTGACAATTCAGCTGGAGGAGAACAATTGGTGTATTGCAGCTACTTTAGCTAAAGTAAACTAATCCGGATTGCTGATGCTGACTGAGCTCTACAATTCTTTTTTCGAATTTTCTTAATTTACAAACACCGACTCCACTTATCCAATCAGTTTAGATTAAAAAGGAAATTTACTACTTTTAAGCATGATAAGAATCAATGAAAAAATGCTTTATTATGTTTCAGTAATTTAATAATAAACAGTTGTATATTAGATTAAGGGAATTTATCCAACTGCCAATTCAGGAGTTGTTAAAAAGACGTCCGTTGTTTTTATCTAACCAAAATGGTTGAAAACAGCTGAGTGCAAAATGCCAAAATCCTCAATAACAAAGCATCTTGTGGACTACGGACACGATATCGACGCTGTCAAGTCATCCACTATTGTCAGGAGACAAAGAAACAAGAAGATGCTTGCAATTGCAGAGACTTGTGCAATTCGACTTTATAAACCAGCTTTCTGTATACAAAAGGAGATGGTCGTGACTCTGAATCTACCAAGGTAACACGTTTTACTTATTATTCTACCTCTTATTATTATTCTTGATTCATTTAAAACTATCCTTTATCAGTAGGATTATCTTAACTCACTTCAACACTATTATTATTATAACTATTACTATCGGTATTACTCTGTTTGCAATTCTTGTTATATTCTCTAATGACTAATTGTTTACCTAAGTAATGTAATTGAAGCGTAATGCAATTTATCTTAATTTTAGTCTCTCATACTGTCTTTACCCTTATCCATTTGAACGTGACCTGGAAAACATTCGCACCTCTCTTTCTGCAAGAATAATTCAATGTAGTCTGTTTACTTATCAGTCTTTTATCTCCCAGTGTAATTTCAAAAGTATATATATCCGTGTATGTAGAGTATTCAGCTGACGAGTTGTACGGAAATTCGATAAATTCATTAAATCCTGCTTTATTAACCTTTATTGCTTGTTTTAAAATTATATCAGAATGTGAGTCGCACGAATTTTCCACACTGTGTATTTCAACGTTTCAAACTTTAAACTCTCGTGTGATCATTGTCGATGATGATTTATAGTTTCTTTAATAAAAATTGTATTTAACTTCTTATCACACTGACCTATTGAAGCCTTTCTGTCTTTTAATTAACCTGTAAAACTAGAATGCACAGATACCTAGAACCTAGAGAAAATTTCTTTCAGGACAATCATTATCATGAGGTAAAATCAAGTAAGTGAATATGGGAGACAAGTGAGAACTGAACATTTCTGTCATTTTATGCCAGAACTTCCCCTTCGTAGATATTCACAATGTGTTGACCTCTAATTGACAGGGATAGTTTTTAGCTAATCGGCTGAAACATGAATGAAAATGATTTCCTAGAGGGTAAGCAGATGCATACAAAAGAGCAGGTGATTACACAAACAGAATGTTACACAGTGTGTATTTCATCAAGGCAATTGTTTGAGTATGCAAGATATCTTTGGCCAGTGAATGATATTACCTGATCGTATGCAACCGTCCTGTATATAACTCACTGTTCATTTTGATGATGCACTCTGGATGGACACATTAATTTAGGTGTTGGTTTGTAGGGATTTCAATGGTTACAGGATTTCGTCATGAGCTGACATTGGTTAGAGAACCATTGGAAAAGCTGGGAGTACTGGACAGCTATTTCCTACATCCTAGTTTGGGACTCTTCATCAGTACGCAGCCACCGGGATCCGAACCCAGGACCTTCTGGTTACAAGGCGAGCCGTAAACTACTGAGCCACTGGGGCCTGGTTCAATTGCCCGTGAATTCCAGCTTCTGCCAATTCACGACATAGAGCGACCCCTAGACAATGTCTTCGGCGAGTATTTGTCTTTACCCCCGACCTGCTGCGCCCCACATTAATTTAGCATCGAAAAATTCACACACCTTTTCAATGGTATTGTTTATTCATCTGTCGACTTTGAACTTTCGCAATATTATATAAATTATCAAAAGGTGAAAATAATTCTGTGAACTAAAAGAGTTTACTGTTGGATGTTTTCGCCAGTGTCCATCATTCATTCGCCCAATTGCAAGATATTCGTTAAGTCAAACTGTCACATGGTCTAGAGCAATAACGACCAGTGAAAGCAACATATAGCAGATAAATGCTACAGATTGTTGGCTTAGTAAAATAATGACAAGCAGTAAGAGTTTGGATATGTTTATCGTACATCGACTAAGCGCTAATCAGTAAAAATTCAAATATACAACATTACAAAAACACCAGTATCATCTGACACCACCTTTCGAGTCAACTGAAGGAAAACATTACGTATGATGTGAATAAATTCTTTTCCTTCACAAATAATTCGATTAGAATTTTCTGACAAATGTCACAGGTATACGAAAAACTAATGTTGTAAGATATGCATTCAATACACATGTCAGAACAACAACACACAGGTAGGCAAAAATAAGTTGTCTTACATTTTATTTGTATCACTTGATGTTTTTAAAATCACGGACTGAATCGAACGAAATTCACGATAACTCTATCTATATATGGTCAACACAAATTGACAATGATTTCTTAGTTTAGTGTGTCATATTTTTAACGATGACCTTGAAGATCGGTTTATTTTGCTACTAGCCGAAGAGGCAACATACTACACGTTATATCAGATAATGATTAATTATGTATGTCACGAGTATAATTCATCTTGTCCAATACAAATTTAATATTGTACTCGCTTCGGCGGTACATATACTAAATTGGAACAATACAGAGAAGATTGGCATGGTCCCTGCGCAAGGATGACACGCAAAATCGTGAAGCGTTTCATATTTGGTCCCGGGTTCGATCCCCATCCACGAGACACACTCCTTTACCTCGCTAAGCCATAAATAATGCTGGTAAAGAGGAAAGGATGGGCATGAGGCTATCAACCCCATCTTGTAAAAATAAACACTACTACAGAAACTTCAAGCCACTAGCTTGAAGCCCTATGTTCCACTAGGGAACGTGAAGGAAAAAAAATACAGATTTAATATTATACAGTTATTCATTTTCTTAAGCTATCCTCACTATTATCATGTGTGAATAATAATCAACTAATCATAGTAATTAAGCATATGTGGTCTTCTTGTTTTTGATCATTATTGAACAATTTCAGTAGTACTTCATTTTTACGGGCACTTAGTGAATTGATGTTGACTGGATGTTAGTTACACACAATGTGATTTACAGTTAAAAAAAACGTGTGAATATATATCTGAAACAAAATTCTTCCGTTCCCATACTCTGATAAACAAGAAGGGTGACACATTTTCCATAAACAAAGGTAGTCAAAGTCAATTATTTTAAAAACAGCCCTATGAAAATTAGTCTTATTTTCAAAACCAGAGCACTATATTTTCTCAGTTCTTTTAGCTCTGAGCGAAACATACGGCTTCAAGTTTCAATAGCCACATGTTGTTCTCACGAAATGCGATTGCCAACCTTACGCTTAAACTCCCCTCATCTCAGAGTTTACTACCAGTAGTTTAATAATAATTTGCTTTATTTCAAAACAGTACTTGTGACACAATGGAATTCTCAGCACTTTACTACAGTATTGCATCCAGTTAGTACATGAACTATAACTAAAATTCCACATAGATTAAGGGTAATCTCAGTTAGTTTTGATAACAACATATTGGCATGTCGGTAGCAAAGCCAAAAATTGAACAGTGTTTGAAGGTGTTAGAAAAGTAGATGCTAGCATATTTACTGGCGTAAGCCGTAACAAAAAGGTAGAGATATACGGTGTGAAAGAACGAAGATAAATGTTTTAAATAGAGTTTGTATGGAAGAAAGAAACAAAGCAGCACATAACAGAAAAAAAGAGAAAAGGAAAAGAAAGAAAGAAAACGTACCTATAAATGATATGAGTTGGAAAGGCGAGATACAATATATATATATATAGCCCTGGAAAAACTAAGGGGGAACAGTGGAGAATAATAGACAGGATGCAAGAGTTAACGAATCGTAGGAGTAAGGGTTGGGTTATTCCAGACGCTGTTTAGGAGTGCGTCAGCCAAGAATAGAATAGAACCTAAACTCCTCGCTCAGCTGAAGATAATTCCACCACTGACGCTGTAAAATAATAGAACGGACATCAGGTGTTGTCATTTCCACATGATAAGCCGCGACTGTAGTTCATCGATCAAATTCGCAATGTGGCCACTCGGAAGCCTACTGATACTATACTTAGACTATAATAAAATACGTTAAGAATTATCAGTAAGTGTGTTGAAACAGTATGCATGTCAATCCTCGAGTAATATGAATCGCTTAGCATGTTACGAAATCTATAACTTATTCCCTAAATAATTACTGATATAATTGCAGGGAAGAAATTAAAGTCGTAGGTCGGATCTAAAGTGACAACAACCAGCTCTGTACGCCAGGAATGAAAAAAGGCAATCATTTTCACTTCCAATCTGCCATCTGATGAAGAGACAGCTTATTTACCAGAGTATCAGTAATGAAATAACAATGATGGTACAATTTAGCTAGTCTCCATATGTTTAATGTGCTAAAATTTGAGCTTTACTGAGTTTCCTCTTAGATTATTGATTTTAATATCATTGTAAATCCATCTAAGTTCGTGTTCTGATATCTTGAACTATTTATTTTATTTAGTCGGTTCGATCAGAATACTAATCCAAGAATGAATTCGTAGGCTTAGTGGCCCACTTAATACTAGCCTTATTAAAATTCTTACGTATAGCTCTAAGCACCCCTTCTTTGAGTAGCAGTACTACGAAGACAATGAATTCCATTCCTCCTGAGTTCTTGTAAATTTTTCTATGAATTCTAGTGATCAGCTATTTAACAGTGAGTGTTTTCCTACCTGTTTGACTTCTTATTCTATGTTCAAAATCCTAGCTCAATAATATCAGCATTTAACTAGACCCACATTTAGTAACTTTGGGTGGGGTGATTCCAAGTCTAAGTGCCTAGGAGAATGTGACGGGTTTTTTCTTATAGATACTGGTATCTAATCTTCCCTGTCTTGTTTTCATTTTATTCAGTAGTCTAGAATAACCAATTCACTCTGTCATTTACACATTTCTACCAAAACTAAAAGCCTTACACCCCCCACCCCCACCCCCAATTACCCATAAGTATATCTACCACTCCTGAAGATATTAATGGTTCTACTGGCCACCTCTTTTGTTTATTTGTATATATTTTATTCTGAAATTTGAAGACTGTAGAAGTCACAGGTGATCCATTACTAGAGTCAACCCTTCTGGTTTATGAAATTTAACACTGGCATACATTCTGCCAGGAACCAATATGAATGTTGTATCACTACCGTAAGACAAAAATAACACAAAAAGTCATGCATACGACTCTTCTCTTCTTCCTCAAGGTGTATAAACCTTTCACCGATTGATCAATAGGAGTACAGTTTAGTAATTCTCGAGTGAAAGGGTATATAACTAACCAACAACAACAAATATTCTCATCAGAGGACTGACTGTTACTATTGGTTACATGATTGAAATGGCTCATAAATTGTTTCTCAGCACACAACAGTGTTAAGCTCGTCATCTCCATGTTAAAGTTAGACAAGAGAGAAAAACCAAACAAACATGTTGTCCGATTAAAACTGGTATAGTACATAAATAAATAAAAAGAACAACAAATGAGATTTTCGGTCAATATATGTTATTTAAAACAAATATTTTTACAAACATTGACGAGAGAGAAGGAAAGCAGAACATCTTATACACATATGCAAAAAAAATAAGTGTGATAGGCCTTTACAGAAAAAAAAGGGATTCAATGAAAAATATACACAGTGAGTCTGTTTTTGACTCAGTCACTTGAGTCATGATCAGATTCAGATCCCAGCGCCTAAATCTTTGACAGTCACACTGATAATATTGACATCTTCCAGTGGTTTATCGTTTTTTGGATTAGTTTTAATATTTGATACCTTCTGTACAACTTCCATCCCTTTGACAACACGACCAAATACTGTGTGCTTATTGTCCAGCCAAGGCTAAGTAAAATTTTCGGGAAGATAAAAACAAAAGAGACAGTTAAAGATTGAATAGTGATAAAATATTGTTAAATCTCATGAACAAAACAACAATCACACATCTTCTAAAGACGCAATAAGTAATAATCTGCTGAAGGTTGTTTTAAGTGCTGTTCATCGGATTCACAATGCAATAATATTTTACAAATCATTATTAGACTGTAAAGTGCTATGCTAAGAAGATGATTGTCTTTATTCTTTTACAAACCAGAACCAATAAGAAGATGAATTTGAACAAGGCAATAATAATGCAAACAACACACACGGAGCAGGAGACAATCGATTCACTTCTATCACAAACTGCTTACAACCTGAACAACAATGACAATTGATGGTTTTACTACAATTCTAAGGTTGACGTGTAACAATTAAACATGTTACACTAAGTCATAAAAAAGATATAAGCATGATGATGATGATGAGTGAGTGAACTAGTAATTGGACACATTTATTTGAACAGCCGTCCAGCATAGTGCCTTATACACTGTCAGCCCAATTTTAATTTATTTAAGTACAACAGATATAAAGGATATCATAGGGTAAAACAAACCGTCTCATTTTAAGGGGAAAAAAGATAAAATGTAAATATATGTCTGTCAACGGCATCGGTTCTGATAGTATCACATTGTGCCCCTCATTGTTTATTTCTGACATTCAACAGACCAGAGCTACAATTCTGGAACCTCATAGGATGTAGTCAGAGCAACACTAAAAGACTATAATGATAAGGCAATTAATATATCAGAATAAAGCAATAACATCATATGGAGTTGGATAAAACGGTTCCATCTTATTCTTCCAGCCGGAATAATGAAAGTTATATTATTTTCACGGCATTTTTTAACCTACCTCTTAGTGTGCATTGGAGATGGAATGTCGCACAATATTTAAGAATAATCGGGACATATACGTGGACAGGAATCTTAGCAAAATATAAACATATTGCTATAATTATATGTATAATGTGGTCAAAGTTTCATGGGAGAAATGGGGACAAGGTCAGTGACAAGATACTGAGCTACATAAATTGTAAGACTTTGTAAGCCATTAGAAATAAGAAGGAATATTGTGAATTAAGCTGATTTAGTGAGACATCAGACATACAAAGCATAGCGTTTAATAAATGACAAAGTAACTAAGGCAGATTGAAAAGAAACCAGGATTTGCACTTAATAAGGGATGATGTAATCAATCAAGGTTAGAAACTAAGTTGCCGGGATCGAAAGAGAGAGAGAGAGAAATTTACTTCAGCTGCTTTCTGATGACATGAGTCAGTTTTTAACCTTTTGATAGCGATGACCTCTGTGAATTTCCGAAGTCTTGATTTGCCTTTTTGATTAAACATGTCTACCTGATGTCCTATATATCAATGAGATGTCGCGTAACTACACACTGACTAAAGATTTATTTCCTTTTCAGTATGTGCAAAGAAAATTAAAGACAGACTTTTTATTATGTTCCTTGAATGTACCTGCTTCAGCAGATACACGTAAATTGATATACACAGCTGGAGTTAAGAAAGGAAGGCTATCTATCCTATCGACTTTTGACTGAACTAACGAACATACCGCTGGGTACACATACATCAATCTAGTAGCTACAGGAAATGTCTTAGCCAGTGATTTCTTAAACTTGTATGAAAACCATTGAATTTCATTGTTTAGATTTATAAGCAGCTGATAAACATATTGCGAGGGAATAAAAATGAATCCGTTTTATATATGCGTTGTTATTGCTCAGTCCAAATTCATTCAGGGGAGTCCGTGCATTAAAAAAAATGAAATAAATTTTGCAAACAAATAAAGTGAATAATCACTGTAACAACAGAAGGCAAGACACGGAAGTGTCAAGGTATATTTTCCATTTATCAAACCGCTGTTCATATATCTAGACAGTTTATATTCATTGAGCGTGTGATTTCGGTTTACATTGAACGACATGAAATAGAATGTTCAAATATATACATACTATTCTTTTGTTAATGCAGTATATAACCGTGGGAGATGTATTCTGTCTGTAACATCAAATAGAATGTTCAAATAAAGTAGATTTATCATATTCTGTTGCTAATGCCGTATTGAACTGTGGGAACATGTGACAATAACATTCCGGTGGCACACATTGTCTGTATCACACCACCACACCCCACCTGAGTGAATCGTGAGATCAGGAATTATTCAGTTCACTTACAGTTAGTTTTTCCACTCGTTAAGAAATAGAACGTGAACATTAATATATATATATATATATATATATATATATATTTTAAAGCTATCAGTCGAATTATTTTTTCTTCCGGAAGACGCCTCTGCATTATGCGTTTTCAATATTCTTCATTTAACAAGAGATTAAAGCTTTGTTTGCAGAATTACAGAAATGAAACAAAAATGACATTCACAGATTCCCCGTTCGTTAATTTTCTCTTGTTTTTTTCTTTTTAATTGCATCAGTTGCGGAAATACAAACAATGAAGTACCGAAATCTTTATCTTCAGTATGTACGCACACACATATTCCTTAATCATTTATACAGAAGCCGAGTTTAGAGTTTAATGCTATCTGAGTGATAGTAAAAGGAAACAATTATATCTCGAATGGCACAGAATAAAATAGACGTAGTCAATTCACATTAGAAAATTCACCACTCCTTTTGAATGAAATGATAATTGCAATTAAATTGTTAACACCTTTCCTAATTTCTAACATGAATAAGTTAAATTCATTAATGAGAAGTTGAAAATTGAAACAACACATCACAAACTAATGACATACTGAAGCTGGTAATCATGAATATTAAAAAGGAAAAATAAATAAAACAGTTGATTATTAGGACTTGTTAATCATTAAAACACTTACTGTCGGCGCAACAGTAATAAAGAACTGTGAACCGTTTGTATTTGGACCAGCATTAGCCATACTGACGGTGTACGGTCGATCATGTCGAAGACTAGGATGAAATTCATCTTCAAACTCTCCACCCCAAATTGACTCACCACCAGTACCCGTGCCTAGGGTCGAAACATAACAGGTTACAATGAATATGATAAGCAATAGAGAAATACACAAAATGGAAAGTTGTATCACAGGCGGATAATACCAGTGATTTATACGTGAGAATATTGTTTCACTTATTTATTTACGCAGTTTCCCAAATAAATTCATCTTGAAGCCAGAATATTTCAACTAACACTTTTTTGTTGAACGTGGAAATGTACAAAAATGAATGATGAGTGATCGAAAACTTTTTCCTAACCTTTCACCTAGATTGCAAGTCGATTGGCTAACTAACACCACTACAGTCCTACAGGAGATCAATCGCGAGCCCGAATAGCTCAGTGGTAACGTCTCTGACTGCAGCACTGGGTGACGCGGGTTCGAATCTCAGAAGGGACATAAGTTCCCTCAAGGTTGCAGATACACCTTGCTGACGAGTGCCAACTAGCACGAAACCTAGGTCCAAGGCTTCCTATCGATTGCCTCCAACCATCTAATAACACCACCTTCATTGCTTAACGAGAAATCCAATCAGTACAGTGAATTAAAATTAAAATTGCCTTATAACTTCCATTCTATTCAGAAAAAGTAAGTTATACTGAGCTAAAGCTCGTAAAACAGTTATATGAGAAGTGACACTGTCTATCTACACCCATCAAGAGTTAGTGCATTGAGGAATCAATGGAACATAAATGAATAAATTTGTTTAAAATAATTACTTTCCTTTATGAATTTAGACAAAGCAATAATATGTAATTTGTCTGAATTGTGTAACATTGCATTTGCGCAACACATTTCGAACAATCTGATCATACACGGACTTTTTATGGGAATATATATGAAATTAATAGAGTTAAGAGGTGAGGTCAAGTTAAAAGGACATATTGAAGGTCAAAATAACAATGAACATCACTAAACCAAATAAGAGAGGTAATAGTACACCGGCTATGGTATCAAAACAAAGTTTTACAGGGAAGGTTAAGTGTGATGACGAATTGTTTTTGGACGCATACAGGTGGTTTAAACTTTCTAATTGCTAGGGGGCTTCAACAAACTTTGGGATGCGGCCCAAACACGTTTAATAGATAGGTTTCAAAGACGTGCAAACACCAATTTTTTGGCCTGTTTAGGAATAGATGAACTGGATCATCTGTTCTCACCATTGATCGGTTCTGGAGATTCTCTTTGCTTCTGAAGCCATTTAGGAATTAAACTTGTAGCGAAGTTTCACATACATTGATAAGTTTATGACTTAGACCTACATCGCGAACTGATGTCATTCACAGAACCATTGAAAACCAGAGACCACTGGACAAATGTTTTCTCCTAGTTTGAGAATGTTAGTCTTTGTTTCTAGTATTTTTTCCCTTTACTTCCCAGTAGAACATAGGGCTGCCAGCCACAGGCTTGAAGTTTCGGTAACAGTGGTGTTTATTTTTTCGGATGGGGTTGCTAGCCGCATGCCCAATCTTCCCTCTCTGCAGGCCCTACTACCGGCTTAGCGGAGTAAAGGAGTGCATTGGCCCGGACCATGTGCGTGGTCGGCTAGCATTCTACTGCTGTGCCACCGACGCATAAATATGTACAGTCTCTCTCTCTCTCTCTCTCTCTATATATATATATGATATAATATGGCACCTCGTTTGCTTAAACTTTAACTATTAACCGGACTGGATATTCATGTTTCTGGAGAATCCAAAGTCACTTATAGAATATTAATATTTAGAGACAATACAATGACTTTAAAACTTATTCTGACAATAGTCTTAGATTAAGTGTGCTGTTCAGGTATAATCTCATTAGTTTGAACACTTCACTTCAATCGATGTGTCTCAGACTCGAATCCGGCTTTATTTGCTTCAGCTTAGGTGAAGAAATAGTATTCTGGAGTATTTGCTATTGATAAACAGACATAATTGAAATATGGAATAACGCCTTCGGAGAAGAAATAGTAACTTATAAGTCAAAAGCCACTGATGAGGCAACGTGTGGAAAGAACAAAAATTCTCAGGAGAATCTAGACAGGCAACAGACAACGGAGGACAAAACACACCGAATACATAATGGATGGTACTATATGCAAATAGTGGAACCAATGCTAAGTTTATTGATTTGTCAATGTTCGTTGTATTGTGTGTTCCAACAAACATTAGATCTGTTGCCCACCAGACTTCAGTCTCTTCAGTATTAAAAAGTCTTAGATATCAAGTGTAGCCAACTATCTGCTACATGTTAAATATCGTAAAAGAAATTTAGAATATTGTTTAAGCAAGTGTGTACTATTACTAATTCCAGATGAAAGTGATAAATTATGAATGGAAATACCTGTGAACAGTCGTTTAGGACAGAAAAGAACTAGAGTTAAAACCTGTATGCAATAACACTATCTAAACTACTGCAGAAACAACAGTGATGAAACAGCTGTTTTGTAAATCTCATAAGTGTTTTTACCGAATACGATCTTAAAAACAAATACCATATGTATAGTAGAAATGTAATAAAATGAAAATAAAACTAGTTGATCACGGATTGATATCAGTTAGAGAAGCATTGAAAACCAGGGAGTACTGGACAGCTGCTGTTTCATTCTATTTTGGGAATCATTGGCAGTACGCACCCACCAACAGGGTTCAAACCCAGGACCGGTTACAAGGCAAGCTCGTATACCATTCAGCCACTGGGACCCGATTCAATGGCTCATGAATTCTAACTTCTGATGCTCGTTAGTGACTTGCTACAGGTTGGAGTTTCCTGAGTTCTAGTGAGAAGTCGTGACCAGTGAGGTTCAATTAGATGTCACGTGTGTGGATGGATGTCCCACCAACGACAATGGTTGGGGTCGCGCTAAATCACGAATTGGTAGAAATTAGAATTCACTAGCCATTGAATCGGGTCCCAGTGGCTGAATGGTATACGAGCTTGCCTTGTAACCGGAAGGTCCTGGGTTCGAACGCTGTTGGTGGGTGCGTAGTCCCGATGATTCCCGAACTAGGATGAAACAGCAGCTGTCCAGTACTCCCTGGTTTTCAGTGCTTCTCTAACTGACATCAATCCGTGATCAACTCGTAAATACATAACTAACTTTTACAAACCAAACTATAGAAAATAAAACTAGTGTTTGACATAGGAGATGAGTATGACAGTTAATCAGAAGTTTCACACTTACCTAGAGGACAACCAGTTTGAACCATGAAACCTTTAATAACTCTATGAAATATATGTCCATTGTAATATCCAGCTCTAGAATGACCAACAAAATTCTCCACAGTTCTAGGACATTCTCTAGGACACAAACGAATGTGTATATCACCCAAAGTAGTATGTAGAATAGCACTGCCGGCTAGTCTAGAAGCAGCTGTCGCTGAGTCTCTTGTTGCAGCTAAAACTTCCTCCTTAGTCGGTTTTTCATTGAATACATCGCGTTCAGCTGTCGATCCTGGTGTAATTGTATCACCACTGGAAATCAAATCAAATTCAACAAACTTATGCGTTACACTGTTTAAAAAAAAGAAACTTACAATATGTGTAAACTATAATAGTTTACCAAGTAGTCTTGGATGACTGTTCTAACAGGTAGTTAACAACAACAACAGTACATCCCTAGGCCACACTACTGATGAGGATTTATCGAGAAGGCTATATAGCGCAACTTGGCTGAGAGACCACACTTATTATCAGTATTGCTAAATGAGCCTGTTTTCTACATCTTTCTATGAATGCTACTTTTTCATTCATGAAAAAATTTCAATTAGGACATGTACAAAATGAGAATACGTTCTCGTTCTCTATTTTTATTATCTCGCCATTCTCTTTCACCAGTAAAAAAAAGGTGGATAAAAAGAACAAGATGTTAAGCTATTTTCTGGATCAAACGGTTTGTTGTTATTCTGTGAATAAGGTATTTTTCTCAAAATTAAAATGACAGTTACGTTGATTAAAAATAAACAATGCTCTATGAGTGATGATGGTCAAATCTTCCATGCTCTTACAGCTGACGATGCTTGTGGATCTTTAACCATGCAGTTGGAAAGTCAAACACACTCACACGTACCAACGAAGAATACGGCATATATGTGAATCAGTTTCAGCAACCAGACTTCAGAATAACATGCAAGGAAGATGATAGACATCATGATAGACTAAATAAGCCTGAGTGGTCCCCACAAAGCCAGCACTGAAGAATCCTTTTGCATCACCTACTGGGTACGAAATAAGTTGTCTAAAGCATCCAGATACTGAACACTCCAAACAGTAGAGACTATTGCAATTTGCCTAAAAAACAACCGGTGCTTTGTGTACAGAAGAAACAGGTCAACCACTATTACCACCCTGGCGTGTTGTGAAGTTCATAAATACCTTATTACACCGGCCTTTCTGTTATGACCCTCCATCCTCTACATACAAATTCCCCCTACCCCTTGTCATTACACTTGCATTAACTAACCTTTTGTTTTCTTATTTAAATGTAGTGGCTAACTTACTCACACTAACATGCATACGACGTACATGAAATTCAACACCAAAACTATTTTTTTGTCTTTACCCCCGTCCTTAATACGATCATTCATCCATTTGAAGTTTATAATCAATATGTGAGTAGAATTTAATGTGAACATGACTCATGAGAATTTATTAATGTAAATTCGTTGTCATTCAATAATTGTTTACTTTGTAATACTAATGTTCAATTTAGTATTACAATTTTACATGTTACCACATACATACACATATTTTCGAAAATAATCTATTAACAATCTAACTGCAAATAACTTTTGGAATTCTGATTAGATGTTACTAATGATGTCAGTAACAATTATTCTTTCATCTTTATGGATGTATAACTCTGGGAACCATCATGATGAAGTTATTGAAATGAATATTCTTTGTTCAGTAACCAATCCTGTTGGAGAAAAGATAATAACTAACTGAGGTGCATAAGTCGGTTTCCGGATGGTAATCGACATCGTTTTTCACTCCTACCGATAGAAAATGGTCGACTAAGTGCCGAGTATGGCCACTAGAGTATATGATATGACACTGCTGTATACTGTTGTTTTGATGTTATATTTTAGCAGATAATCGAAAAATCGCTTTCTCACGTCCATCAGTCAGACATACTGCCAATATTACAGAAAGTTACGGCCTTGTTGTGAGTAACTTGTGATGTCGAGTAGTTAATTTATTGTTTTGCAGTAACTGATGAACAGCAATGGTGAATAGAGGTTAATTGGTGGATGGTGACTAGCAGTGAATCCAGGATGCGCATTTCGTCCTATTTGGGACTCGTCATCTGGATGTAACTGCATCCCGCAGTGAGTGATGATGTTCCCACCGAGACTCGAACCCAATGCCCATAGTTTAGAACGCCAAAGCACTATCGACTAGACCAACTGGGCCACGAGAGCCACCACTTGTGCAACAATGGTGAATTCAAAGATTTATGCAATTCCTGATAAATCGTGACTTAAAGTCACTGAAACCAGTCCTGGCTTCCATTTACTACTTCATAGCCCGCCCCCCCCCCCCTAGTTACATCTTACTAAGATAGTAGGGAGTAACGAAACACAGGAATTTTGCATAGGTGAAAGAATTACCACTTTCCAATTTCAGTAGCACAACCTGAACATTAAATGAATAAACCAGTTAAATCGTACATTTTTTTCTTCATCAAAAAACCCTCAATCCGTCATTATTCAGTTAAATTAGTACACAAAGTAATATCGATTGTCAGTGGGATAGTTAAAATTATAACCAACCAAAGGTAATCTTTTCGCTTTTGTATGCATGCACGTATGCGTATGTGTGTGTGTGTGCAGAGAGAGAGAGAGAGAGGAGTAAGAAGCAAAACCAGTCACTACTTTCTGTGATATTATAAAAATAGTGAGTATTGCCATTTATCACAGCATACACGAGAAGTACAGTCTGAATGTATTAGGCTGGTGATGATTATGATTATGTTTGCCGGGCAAACCAGTCTCTTCCTTCGAAGAAAGTTCAATGGGGAAACAAACGTACACACACACACTAAAATGCGTGAAAATATGCACACACACAGAGAATGTAACAATAGCACAGTGTAAGAGAAAGAAAATATATAAGAAAACTTATATGGAAAGTTTTTTTTCCAACTTATCGACATATTTTTTCTTGAACACAGAAAAAAGAAAATGAACAGCTAACAACAGCAGCAGCACACAGCATTACTGAACAGATGTCTGGGTGTATGAGTCTGTGTGTGTATGTGAATATACGTCTGGTAAGGAAACATGGATATATTGAATAGATAAGTCTAACTGATTGTTAAATGACAACAGAACTAGACATGAAACACAGAATTTGACTGACATAATAATAACAACAGTAATGATGATAATAAATATTTGGGATAAAAAGTAAAAATGAAGTAAACCAAATAGAAGAAGAAAACTGAATTAGAACAGCACAGCAGGTTACCTAGACATACTGTTCATGCTTGTGTTCAGCGGACGAAGAGTGGATAAAGTGGATTATGCGAGAGAGAGAGAGAGGCATAAGCATTTAGCTCCCATAATAATTACTTACGCTACTTAGTTTTAAAAAGAAAGCTATTCATAGTGAGTGAGTCTTCAATTTAAAAAAAGTGTTAAATAGTGGTTAACTTTAGTAGAGACGAACATAAACCATTTATGCCTTTCAATGTCAACTCAAACGGGTATCAACAAGTTGTAAAGGAGATGGTAAACACACCTAGTACCTTATGCTACCTCTGTTATGCATCTGAAGAGGAGACTCTGTGTGTGTATGTATGTCTATGTACGAGAGAGAGACAGAGAAAGAAGCACTGATGTCCATCTGGGTGAATTCATTTTACTCCAAAAATTTATTTCATCTTGTTTAGAATACACATGTATCATACTTCAGACTTTACGAATTAGCTTTATCACTATTTCACCAAGATATTTTTCATCCCGAGTTAGCAAATAATAGTATAGCATTTCTAATTCAATCCTCCACCAATCCAATAAAAAGACATATTACTTAACTCTTATTGCAGATGACGTTGTACAGAAGTTAAAAAATAAACCTAACAGATAAATATATTCAGTCGAATTTAGCATTCTAGGAAGAATAAAATACAACTTCTTGGATTATACACTCATGTATCAGTGAGGCTTAGTGACTGACTGACTGACTGACTGTTTTCAACATAGAACTTTGCACCGATGTGCAGCAGTTCGAGTCGCCACACTTCACTCAGCACACAAAGCCAGAGAAGAAAGTAAAAAGAAATGCATAAAAGAGACAGTAATCAGAGATATGAGGCAAAAAAATTATAGTAATATCGAAGAACAATATAGTTTTATTGGATATTATAAGTCACAAGGAGTGGATGCATCTGCGCCATCATTGAGAACGATTTCCAACCACACCACCAATTGTCTCCAGCCTTCATTGTTTTTTACCAACCCGAACACCCCAACCAGGATGTCTACACTTCCCTATGTCTCTGACTTAAACTAAATGTTGTGGATTTCATTGACTGGTGAAGTCATGTTTTCGTCTGACCACCACCGGCTATCTCTTTTCCAACCGGATGATCCATCCTATGTCAGGTAACATTGCCCATTGTCGAGGAAGGCGATCGATAGCTAGGCATGCGTAACAAACACATGTACTAATCATCTCAATCGGTGAAACTTCACAACCTCGACGATCGATTTTCCCTCCTTACCTCGCACTCGACACCTAATCTCTTGTGTGAATTAATCTTCACGTTGTTACTAAGTGAGGCTTACTAACAACGTGAGGTTAATTCACACAAGGGTGGAATCAGCACCAACAATACTACTCAGCTGATCAAATCTTACCAGTGTTTAGAAACTTTAAGCCTGTTAGACACAAACCAAAATTTAAAAGAAAACAGGGGAAATAATGGACAAGCTTTAATCAAGAAACATCAACCAAGCAATAACATTCTAGTTTACTTCACCATCCAGTGAAAGATAATGCTCCTAGCAACACGCGTTTATGTAATATGCTAGTTATTGGCAGTCGAAACAAAAAAGTTACAAGTGATGAATCACTGATTCTTTTCAAACAATGCTGGAAAATGTTCGGAGGATCAATTTGATAAATCCATGATTCCGCTGCATTCGTTAAGGCGTTGAGTGAAAAATTTAATTCCATAGACCTCTTCTATTATTAATCAGTTTTTGTGTTATTGCATAATACAGAGTTTTGACAGAACAATCTACGATATGCCTAATGATAGCTTTTCCCTAGAGTGGCTTCAAGTTTACTTTAGTTTTGATAAAACACCAGTAATCAATCCATTCAGCTTTAACAGAAGGATAATTAATTATTAGGCAATATTACACACACAGAAACAAAAGGACTGCGACTGAATAAGTAGTATAAATAAAATAAAATATCCGACATAACTTACTCTGACTTACATCATGCGGTTCACGATTTGTAAACAGATAGACACGGTTTTTCTTGAAGGCAGTACACACCAACACAGGGGTACATGCTGCTACTGTGTTTGATGCACTACCACTACTACTATTCAGCGTCGGGTTGTCGTCATTTGCCATTGCCAACATCTCTAGACTAGGCACACAACTTGACGTACCTGAACCAATACAAGTGGAACCATACAACAATGATGAACTACGCGGTGGAATAAAAGCCAGCTGAATGAAACGAAGATTTTCTGGACCACCAAGATTCCTGACAACGCGATTGGTTACTACATTGATTACTTTTATTCCCAATAATGTAGCATAGGCTAAAAAGTTGCTAGATGGATCAAAGACTAGAGTAAAAATGGAACAAAAACAAATATGCGTGAACGTAGAATATAGGCGTTGTAGTGGAATATAATTCCATATTAGACAAGTTAGTGAGTGAGAGTATTAATCAATCACTGGATGACGTTACGAGTGCAATCTATTGCCCATAAGCCTAAGAATGTATTCACATAACTTGATAGCTTGGTTTGTATACACCTATCCTGAATACATGGGAAACTGAGATAAGAAAACAAAAGGAATAGGGATATATATATATATATATATACGACCATGAGCTTTAAATAGTGCCCAAAACATCATCCAGTTATTAATACTGTACGACTGCACGTTATATCAAATAAAATTATTGAAATAAATAAATAAAAATATAAATTAGTCAACAGATAAACAAAAGACAACACTACACTACACAACAGTGAAACTCGTCCTTGAATTGGGTCTTCGTACGCTCAGTGTTTTAATGTTATGTCCCATAGGTGGCACCTTGAGGTTGTGGTCATGGTTACACATCACAATGACCCAGCAAGCTACAGTGTCTGGAACTAGTGTTTCTGCAGGTTCAACCAAACCAGAAATGCTGTTAAGAAGGTGGCTAGACTGAAAGTAATTACCGTCATAGTGTAAGTCGTTTTCAGTACGTTGGGGGGGTGAGTGGAGTGGGGTTGTGAAACAAATCGTGTTGCTGGTGAGTAAGAATGTAACAGCATTAAAGCTTTTCTTTCAGATGATCAGCACGTCAGATATGCTGCCTGTCTGCTCTACAGAGGACTGTTAGAAAAGGTCGACCGTGAATATTTTACATCCCGACTTACCTTACGGCGGTGAGAGCTTGATACAGACGCAACTCTAAAAAACCAATTTAAACAGGCCATGTGTGACTGGCCTCTAGGCTCTAAGGCAAGGCGATGCTAATGTTCCTACTGATACACATACTCTAAGAAGAAATCAACTCTCATAAAGTGTGGGGGTTCGTGGGGGGCAACAACTACCCAAACACTTTGATAAACGCACAAAGGTAGTATTATTGCCGAATAAGCAATGAAGTAACTTGATTAAAAATCTTAGAATGCGAAATCATACCTTCTCCTTGACTGGCCGACATTTTGAACAAGTGTTTTAAAAAAGATAAGGGAAATTTTTAATCAAAAAGACTGTCTCTGCTTTGAAATATGTTGAAGAAAACCTCAGAATAAAATCAGTTGCCACCATCTAGGATAGATAAGAAATATCACACAAACAACAATGACAATTTGAATATCACCGTATTTGTTAGATGGCTGATATGTCTCGTATTAAAAAAAACAGGAAAATATGATTAAAATAATTCTCAAGTTATTAAAATTGAGGGGGAAGGAAGATTAATCGTTGACATAAGCTGAGAAATGAAAGCACTGGTATTAGATGGTTGGAGGCAATTGGCAGGAAGCCTTCGACCTAGGTTTTGTGCTAGTTAGCACTCATCAGCAAGGTGTGTCTGCAGGTCCAAGGCATTCTATCAATTGCATCTAACAATCTAATACCAACAATTCACAGTGCACTGTGATGACAAGGCATCTAACATGACGGCCACGTTGCAAACTTGATTGATAGAATTCAGTCTGCATCAAAAATACGACTAGACACATTACACTAGTTACTTACTAGTATTCAATCAAAAATGAACACATTTGTAAAAATTGTCACTTTTCCACCTCCACCTAGTGTTTTCAAAAGCTGGATCCAACTTCCATAAGACGCACAGGTAAAAAACCAAAAAAACATTAGCAAATTAGTGCCTTGATAGCTTTATGCGGAATTTCGCTTTCAAAGTCTAGCAAACGCAAACCTGAAGGCACTGTAGCTTCACAAAAATGAAAGAAAAAAACTAAGTCTCACCTAGGTTGCAACTATGTTTGAATTCTGACCGATCAAGCTCTTTCTCCTGAGCTAAACGCCGACCGAATTCCATACTAGGAAGAAGTTGTTTGGACTAGAAAATCAAAAAAGAAATGTTTGATGGTTCAATATTTTCTCTAGTTACGTGTGGCTACTTATAAGTAGTCAAAGTAATCACACTGAAATGCCATGGATTTCATTTCAGTCGTCTTCAAACAGACCAAAAATTTAAACGCATTTATCAAACAGAAATAATATAATAGTATAGCTTTTCATCAACTGATTATGCGTCAGAATTTACAAAGAGCTAGTAAAATTCACAAAAACCTATCGGTTTTTTCCGAATGCAATTCACCTGTTCATCAATACAGTTTGCGTATAAATAAACAGTGTAAGGAATGAGAATGTGTTTTTATATCACACTACTGAAAATTAAGTTGTTAGATATACCTGACTAAAAAGAAAATAAAGCGCACCACACGTACTCAGATACATGTTCCATATTTTTTAAATATCCTATGAAACGTTTTTGTTTCCATGTACTATAGAACGAACAAAAACCTTTCAAGTATTGGTTTTGTAGGGATTTTGTTTGATTGCATGGAGGATTTCATCATGAGCTGACATCAGTTAGAGAACCACTGGAAAACCTGGGAGTACTGGACAGCTGTTTCGTCCTAGTTTGGGACTCTTCAGCAGTACGCACCCACCGGGATTCGAACCCAGGACCTTCTGGTTACAAGGCGAGCTCGTAGACCATTGTGAGCCACTGGGACCCGATCCAATGGTCCTTGAATTCTAACTTCTGCCAATTCACGATATAGCGCGACCACTTCGCAATGTCTTCTTCGATGAGTTACTGCCTCATCTTCAACCTGCTGTACCCTACTGGTCACAGCTTCCCACTAGAACCCCAAGTTAACTACCTGAATAGGCCAGTCACTAGTGAGCATCAGATTAATTTTCAAGTATTGGTTTTGTAGGGATTTTGTTTCAAGCAACGAAGTGACTGCTCTAAAGCTAAGGGAACGCAATCTCCTACGGACCACATTAAACCTATAAAGAAAACAAATCATCTCAGTGTAAATAACTGTAGTGAACAGGTCATGGATTTAATCTGAATGAATCATGAGCAGAATAAAATGAATATTTTTACAGTACTAAAGTCCTTTGATACTTCTTGTATGTCATTCCTGGTCAGAGATGGTCAGGATTAGCATATCATTCTTTTTCAGAACACGTTTCACAGCGAATTTTTCCACGACACCTTTCGAGCGACAGAGTAAGCTGACACTTACATGTTGAATGTAATGTATGCTTACCACCACTCCTATAGCGCTAGGGGTCTAGCTGCCAACACTACAACTCTCCATTACACCTTTATCATTGTGTAAGCAACTAATACCATAATAGCCACTGTTTTTAGTCTAACTTTTATCTAATTAACTTTTAAGGAATGTTATGATCTGCAGGAGCATTCATTCCAGTCAGCATAACTCAGTGGGTCATATGAACATGTAAAACCAACCTTCACATCAAGCTAACAATTACCAAGAGGATAGAGCATATTGTATTAGGTAACAGAACAATTAAACGATTCGGTAGCATCAACGCCATCAACACCAAAGACTAAATGAACGACACTAGCTATTCTCTAATAACTAGTCAACGTATCCATTACAGTCCTAGGACAGGTTAATTCTGAGCCCGAATAGCTCACTGGTAATGTCTCTGATTGCAGCACTTGTTGACACGGTTTCGATGTGTATTTTTAAAAATACCATAATTGCTTTTTTCCTCTCTTGCAACACTGAAGAAGAATAACAGGAAGTTGGAATAGTAGACTATTGTATTAGCATTTACACTTATCCAGTTACTTGACTGAAAAAGACTCAAATTACAAATGATGGGAGTAGACATTTAGATGGCAGTGAATATTATTAGATAGTTGTAACTGGTTAGTGATCACTTTGGCGAATTCTGCAGTACTGACACGCTTTAAGACCCAAGATGGTTAGCAAATACTTGATTAGCTCACCAAATACAGTAAAAGTACAGCAATCATTTTCTCCACGTGAAAAAAAGCCTTAAGTATTTATAGAAACGCATGTCAGCTGTAACAAACCTGTTGTAGGTTAGAATACTGTTGAAGACTTTCATCATAGACGCGAATCAGTTTCCCAGTTGCAAAACGAAACAGCCGAATCTGAAACCCATACAATACAAAAAAATACTTGAAAAATAAAGACCCATCTGGAGGACGGAAGTTAAAGCTATTACAAGGATATAAATTCGCAGTTATCAAAGAGTTTGTTACAGAGATTATAGGGAACAACTGTTTGACACACTCAGAGTATTACTAGTTGGTTCTCACCACTAATCTAGGTAACTGAATTTGCATCGCCTGCATATAAGCATATTGTATATCTACACATTTGTATATTATAAATGTCCAATAATTTCTAAGTCTACTAATGTAACGACGATATGTATGCTAAAAATCAACAAAATCTCCCACCATATAGGGATCGATCTACTTGCATGATGGGCGTGTGTGGTGGGCACTTTGACACTACCTAGCTGTTCGACACCAGGTATGCGGAGAATGATTCAAGTACTGGATAGAGCATAGACACTAAACCAAACGAATCACAACTATATTGGTTAAGTAAGGTTCCATTATTGATGTATTCAAGTCACAGGGTTAGTCAAGATTCACTTTGCTATCTTAAAATACATAATTATAGTACTCCACAAGTGATACATTTTCCAATTGGCGGAAAAAATGTTAATGAACCAATTGACTGGTTCTCTTATTTCTGAACAAGTGAACCATCAAATTACTGATTAACTACACTCAATATTGTAAGGTGGCAGACACTATTACTTCATGCTGCATTGACTGAGATGGCAAGGATACCCTATATAGGATTGGGTTGGAAAGGAGTTCTCGGTGGTCAAACCAAAATCTGGAATCAATCCATGCAGTCTTTCACTGTTGGTGTTCCAGTCACGTAGCCAGGTATAGACTGACTGGTTGGGGACCTCGGGATGATAAGTACCAATGTCTGGAGACTATTGGTGCTATGGCTGAAAATCCTTCTCCATGACTCAGATGCATTCACGTTTTGTCATCTCCCATTTACACTGATCCCTCGTGTCTTCCCCATAGTACTATTCCCTCTCGCCTACATTTCTGCTCATTAGAGTTCCCTCGAATTTCTTCCTTCTCTCTACTCTCTACCTTTGTGTGATACATGTAGAGTGTGAACTTGAACTGATGCACTCCTCTGCAAACTTCTAAGCTGAAACTTAGTCAATCAGTCTATTACCTCATGTAGGCAAAGGAAATTTATTCAAGTATTGGTTTGTAGGGATTTGACTAATTGTTTACGGGACTTCATCATGAAATGACATCGATTAGAGAACCACTGGAAAACCTGGGAGTACTGGACAGCTGTTCCCTCCTAGTTTTGGACTCTTCACCAGAACTCACTTACCGGGGACCTTCCGGTTACAAAGTGAGCTCGTAGACTACTAAGCCACTGGGGCCTGGTTCAATTGCACCATGAATTCCAGCTTCTGTCAATTCACGCCATAGCGCGCGACCACAGTTGTCCAGTACTCCCAGGTTTTCCAGTGGTCGTCTAACCGATGTCAGCTGATGATGAAATCCTGTGAAGAAAATTTACTTGAAAATGGTTATCTCAGATCCAGCGGAATACGAAATATTTCTGTCATACTGAACTAATATCAAGTTTTATTATAGCCTGTAACTTTAATGCGTAGATAAGAATCATTTTAAGAAATATACGAATATTTATAACACTAATGGATAAAAGCTCCTAGATCAATGCAAAAGTTTTAATAAATGAAGTCTCAGAGGAAGAAAATGAATACAAGGATTTACAATAATATCGTTTACTTTACGAAATTTGGGTGAACACTCGTGATAGTCACACGAATAATATTAGTAGGATTGGCAATGAAGAAAAATTGTCCTGGGAAACGTTGCCGCAAGCTGGAGGAAATTCTACAGTGTCAAAACAAATCCTTAACACTCTAAGCTAGGTTGAAAGGTAAAGAAATTCTTTCGTAACTATCCCTTTGCAGATGATAGAGAATATCTGCATCTCAGAAGGCGGAAATGTAACTAGAAGTGTCCGTCAACACAACGCTGCTTTCGGCTGTACTTTGTTCAGGTAAATTGATTTATCAGTTGGGCTATGTTTACGACAGTTTCAATGGAAAGTTAATATCAGTACCTAAAGCACAACTGGACAACTAGCAGTCTTAGACTACTGCTGCTTAATTTCTGTTTTGTAGCAGTCGAGTGTTACCGACCGTAGCACTGCAAAAAGCATATTAACTACTGAGTTATAAGGTGTGAGAGTTGATAGCTAGGCTGAGTACCTTATGATTGGTATTTATCAATTTTGAATAAATAAAACAAAAAGCAGCATTGCCCTAGAGTGTTATGTGGAGGAATATGTTGTTACCCTTATTGAGGTCAAATGGTCAAAAATCTAGAGAATTTCACCATCTAGAATGGGTCACTGTATTAAACGATGCGATGCAGTCTCGGCTTATAACTATGACTTGATTTAATCGACACTACACATGCCTAGTAAGCTAACATCAGTTGTAAAGCCCTTAAAAGTCGTGACGAATAGTGAACCATTGATGCAAACCATCTGCGTTTCCTTCTTAACAGTACTACTAATTCACTCAAATTTTATTTGTAATTAAAACTGTTAAAATGGCTATAGAAAGTTGATTAATCCCATTATGTAAAATAAATCTTCATATAACCAACATTTGACGATAATCAGTAAGGCATAACAACTGATGTGTTCTCCTCTAACTCTTACCTTTCTATCTGAGCCAAGAACAGCCAGTATTTTGCCAGAAGGAGAGAATACAACATTAACTGCATACGTTTTAGCAGCTAATAAACAATAATAATCTGTGTCTGACTTGTACTTCCATTTCAGTGTGTTTGGAAATCCATAATTATTCTTTGGACTAGACCAACACTCAAGCATACCTTCTGAATCAGCGCTTAAAACACAATCGAATACAGGATTAAACTATAAGACAAAATAAGAAGAAAGAAAAATTAATAAATGTCGGTAGTTGTTAAACAAAACATTACAGATATAATTAAATATAAAACAATTATTTAGCTTTACTGAGGGTAAGCATAAATTACAACACAAATATAATAGCGAAAAAGAGGACATCTTGCTCTTTCTAGAAATTACCCAAAGAAATGTAACGCAAATCCTACATTCATGAAACAAATCAGCGACTAAAAGCAAAGCAGAGGCTAGCTTAAAATGCAACATGAAAACCACAAAATTACAGAGAATGGGAGCTAAAATTACTTCTGGGGATCTGAGAGAAACTATTTAAGTTATGAGTAAGCATAGTGGAGCTGTGGATAACTGCACTATAGATCAGACTGGAAACTATTACACAACAGATTTACCTCCTGCTCCATTTAACATGATTTACCCGACCAAGTACTATTACAGACGAGATGTTCGACTATCGACCAAAGGGCGGGTGTACTGCTCATCAGTCCGTTCCGTCCTCCTTTATGGTTGTGAGACCTGGTCACTGAGAGTGGAAGACATGAAAAGACTAGCTGTCTTTGATCATAGGTGCCTGCGTTCTATTTCCCGTGTAAAGTGGCATAATAAGGTGAGCAACATGGAGGTTAGGCGTAGAGTTCTAGGTAAACAGAGGAAATCAATCGACGAAGTCGTGAAGCTACAAAGACTGAGATGGTTAGGACATGTGTTACGTATGCCAAGCCATCGCCTCCCTCGACGAGCAATGTAAGCGGATATAGGGTCAGGTTGGAAAAAAGCTAGCAGCGGTCAAACAAAAACTTGGCATCAGTCAATGAAATCCACAACAGTTGGTCTAAGCCACGTAGAAAGGTGTAGACTTCCAGGCTGGGGCCCTCGGGACGGTAAAAATCTATGGTTGGAAACAATTGGTGACATGGCTCAAAACCGTTCTCAGTGGCGCAGATGCATCCACTCCTGTGACTTATGATCTTCAATGAAACTGTTTTGTATTTCTTATTACTCCTTTGTCTCACACCTTGCTCACTGTTTCTATTATGCTTTTCTTGTACTTTCTTCTCTTGCTTCGCGTGCTACACGGAATGTGGCGACTTGAACTTCCGCACATTTGTGCAAAGTTCTATGTCGAAAACAGACAGACAGACTATTACAGAAGTCACACGAAATACTTGTCACTAGTTTCCTATAGTATGGGCTTGTGTTGCATTACTATGGAACGTTTATAGCTCAGCTTACACAATGAACACAAAACAGAGCAGCAATATATGCTATGTGTTATCACATATACACACACTTGTGTTACAACCGACAACACTACTCAGTTGTCCAGGGTGAGGCAGATAGATTAAAATTGCCAACCTAATGGATACAAATCAAATATTGAAGCCATGTAATTAGTATACAATTAGTGTTCCCACCGAGGCTCGAACCCAGTGCCCATAGTTTCAAACGCCAAAGCGTTATCCACTAGACCACTTAGGCCACGAGAGCCATCTCTTGTGCAACGGGTCATATTAATTATTGAATTGAATTTTTGATTTTCCGTCGAGACCGAGCGCTCGGTCCAATCGACGGGAAAATCAAAAATTCAATTCAATAATTAATATGACCCGTTGCACAAGAGATGGCTCTCGTGGCCTAAGTGGTCTAGTGGATAACGCTTTGGCGTTTGAAACTATGGGCACTGGGTTCGAGCCTCGGTGGGAACATCACTCACTGAGAAATGCAGGTACATCCAGATGACGAGTCCCAAATAGGACGAAATGCGCATCCTGGATTCCACTGCTAGCCACCATCCACTAATTGTATACTAATTAAATGCCCAGACATCGTCGAAGCATCTGCACAAGAAGCCGACATGTCAACCTGGGTCCAATCAATCGACGGGAAAATCAAAAATTCAATTCAATTGAAGCCATGAGTTTCCCATAGGGTTTTGACACTAAGTACACATCCGCTGAAGTACTCCACTCAATCAAGTCACTACGCCTGAAATCTAGAAGTAAACTTATTCACATTTACTAAGTCAAAATATCTGCCTGATGTATACAACTCTGTAATCAAATCTTCCTAGTTAAGGGCTATGAGAGAACGAAAAAGTAAAGCAGGCTGTAAAAGTTGTAGATCAGTCAATCCACCCCTACAGTTTTATATATCAACTATGTCAAAGTGAAAGTAGATGGAAGTTGAATTGCAGGTTTCCTAACAATATGGAGTATTTTTCTAATGGTCTCTTATTGATTTGTAGAGATAAACTCAGGAATTGGTCTGCCTCTCAGAAGACAAAGGTAGTCCAGGACTGGTACCTACCTGAAACGATGAATTCATCTCTCCAATATTCAGCGAAAAAAAAACGATGAAGAAAAGTTTGCCTACATCCAACTTTGATAGATAATACTCTAAAGAATAGACTTTTGTGGAAAATGAGTGCTTGAAATAGCGGATAAGGTTTTTATTAGCTCAGATATATGATAATGTATTAGTTGTGTGTACTAAAACCTGCGCTGAGGATGTTGTCTAGAAGGACGACGAAAGCTTAGCAATTAAATCAACCAGCTCAGAGAACACAACCAATTCAGTATGAGTACCTATCATAAGATGAAAGTATTTCTTCTAATTGCCAAAAATTTCGTCTTCAGCACATTTAGGTCTCGTGATCTGCTAGCAGATAACCGAATTAATCATATCGAATTTCGGCAATATATGAATGAATATAAAAAACAGAGTAGAGAGACCCTTTTTTCAGCCTTGAATATATCGTTGTCTTTCATTGCTCAATACCGTACGATACAAACCATTCGATCAGTCTTCTTACAAAATGACTTTCTATAAAACCAAATTACCCTTAGTCATTCAACAGCTTTTTTCGATGAGTGCATGGTGTTTTTTGAGAAGGACAAAATTAATTAAGAAAGACTTAACATAGCTTTTCAAGACGATATAACTAGTCAGTGTGTGAGAACAGAGAATAGACAACAATACATAAATAGTAGTGACAAAATCATACACAATATGAAAATGTTATTCAAAAGACCTACAGCTAAACACACGATAGGTGCTTCATGCAACTTCTCCATTATATGCAACAGTTCATCTTGACTGCGTGCATCAAATATTCGGATTTTCGAACTGTCCTGATCTGTTCTACAAAAGTGAATAACAAAGTGTGTTTTGTTTAGAATAAAGATATTGCTTCAAAAACTACTAACTTGATGAATAAACATCATCAAGCAAAGTAATCCCCAAAACTTAAGATTCCTCTGAGGTGAGCACGTGATCATCCGCAATGAAAATGCAATGCTTAGTATGACAATGAGTCGCTGGCACAGTGGCATAATGCTCGCCACACACGCCTCATGTGGTTCGGGGTTCAAACCTCAGCCGACGGACTCTTTTACCTCGCTAAGCCAGTAACAAGACTGGGGAAGAAGGAATGTTGGGCATGCATGAGGCTAACAGCACCATCGCGTAAAAACAAACACTACTGCTACCGAAACTTTAAGCATCTAGCTTGAAGCCCTATGTTCCACTGGGAACGTAAAGGAATAATATATAAAAAAAAAATAAAGGATGACACAACTGCATTATTACAAATACAAACGATACGGATGACAGTAACAACCAACCAACCAACCGACCGATATCAAACTGTCAATTTTTCTCATGACTTAGTAATCTCTTCAGAAGATTGCTTGGTGAATATTCCCTTTACATACTATCAAACTTCACTATTCTAAGATATTTTTAACACTCCTCCTAGGATAGCAGGTTCAAAATAGCAGCAGGATTAAAGTGAGCATAGTAATATTCCATTCAAATACAAAACTTTAGTGATTACACAACTAAACAGTTACGTATAATAAACAAACAAAAAAACACGCTATAATACCATCATCAACCATTAATAATTACAAGCACTAACAGACTAAACACATACATGGCTAATGCAGTGACTTCATCTTTCGGTGTATAAATAAAACAGCATCCAGTCGGCATGAAATTCAATTTCAACATACTAATCATATCTGCAGAATTAAATTTAAAAAAAAAACAACAAGTAGAAACAAGTTTACAGAGAAGTATGTGTAAGCGTTAACAGTCAATTACTGAAATTTACCAAGATTGTCCAATTTCAGTTGTCAGTGTTCAGACAGTATGATAGTTATTATTAAGCAAGTGTACACTAACTACAGCCTGAATAATCGTAATGAAAAATGAACACCACACATTCTCTAATCCAATGAGAAGAAAGTTGTTTAGAGGATTTTATCGTGAGCTGACATTGGTTAGAGAACCAATGGAAGACCTAGGAGTATGGAGCAGGCATTTCTTCCTGGTTTTCGACTCTTCAGCAGCACGCGCCCATGGGGGTTCGAACCCAGGACTTTCCTGCTGAAAGGTGAGCTCGTAGACCAGAATTGTTAATCTAAAGAAATGGCAATTAGTTTTAAAGTAATTGAATGTTAGACTGAGTTGAAATGAAAAATGTAGGCTTTGCAACAGAGGTATGAATAACTGATATAATCTTAGAGTATTCTTTTTTAAATTCCTTTACGTTCCAAGTGGAGCATAGGGCTTCAAGCCACAGGCTTAAAGTTTCGTTAGCAGTAGTGTTTATTTTTATGGGATGGGGTTGCTAGCCTCATACCTAACCGCTGTGCATCAGTCTTATTACTGGCTTAGCGAGGTAAAGGAGTACGTTGGCCGGGGATTGAACCTCGGACCAGATGATGCGTGGTAGGCGAGGATTCTACCGTTGTGCCACCGACGCATAACTTTAGAGTGTTAGTGTAAAAAACAGTTACGGTGTGATAAGTTGATTCAATTTCTAGCTTTCACCGTACATTGAACATCATATAACATTTACACTTAGTTGATTTTTTTCTATATATCTCCTCTTATAATTAGAATTTCCTACAAAAATACAGTGAAACTAAAGTATCAAACTCTCCTGCTTCTTTTCAACCATTTAAGTAATAGCTCAGTTTGTTATCAAAAAAATGAATTATTGAGCTTAAATCAACCTAACTGGTTAGATAAGCCATGCCTGTGTACAGAAGTGTATAAGGGAAATGCAATTTTATAGGCTAATAAAATGCTTACCGAAATTGATAACATCAAACACCTTTGCAGTCTTATCATCACCAACAGTACACGCTAGTTCACCATCACAGCTAACTGACAAACCGAGTATAGCTCCTATTTTAGAACAGTATTAATAAAAGTAAAGTGGTTAATTGCATCGTAAAATTTAAAAAAATATCCTATTAATTAGAATATAAGAAATATATTGATGAAGTTATGCAGACTAACTAGATTAAAACATAATATTTTCACTTATATGAACTGTCAAATAGAATGACTATTCAAAGTTTTCATGAGAAGTTTAGTTAATTTCACATTCCCTCACCAAGTCATCCATCTCTCAAAGGACTAACTGCATTACTCGATACTAGTAAGCTCTAAATAATGCGAATATATATGGCTTGGTGCCGTCAGGTCATGAGTTTAAATCCCAATTGCTACTAGTCAAACAATAACGTTGTATGTAACACTAAAGCACATTTAATTAGTAGACAGAAATATCACACTGTCACTGAAGAAAGTAAATAAATGCAGACAATTTATTTATAAACTGACTGGCGAAGGCTAACAGAAAAAATCTAAACACTTACCTAAAGTCTTGGTATTGGAACGATCAAAATGGCTCAATTTATTTCGAAGATGATAAGGACAGTACATTTGTGCAAGTGAAAACTAAGCTGAGCTATTTCTCCGAAACTCTCCAACCTACACCATATTTAAGCAGATAAGATGACTATTCACAGAATTCATAGATTTGAGTCACTCGTTAACTCTTTTATACCTAATCAGACTTCAAATAGCATTAATCTTTAATGGGAAAATTGCGGCTTCGCGAGTTTAAAGCAATTCTCAATCACCCTAGTCACTGATGAATCATTATCTGATCTCCTGATTCACCTACCTTATCTAACATTCTGCATCTCAGCATAACTAGCCACTCTGTCTGTCTGTCTGTTTTCCACATAGAACTTTGCACAAATGTGCGGAAGTTCAAGTCGCCACATTCCGTGTAGCACGCGAAGCAAGAGAAGCCACGTTATTCTACCTAACATGAACGCTCGAACGATGACACTTATAACCAAAAAACTGTAGTCTCTTTATATCGGCTACTTTGAATTACCATATCTCACAATAATACAGTGGTAAAAGTGTGGTTGCTGCCTGGTGAGCAATTTACTATGTCTACTGAGTTTCATTTGTGTTGCATGCTTTGGAAACTATAGCTGTACTGCAGGACAACAGTGCAATGTCTTAATTATTTGAGATTAAACACCTTTCCAAAGTTACAAAGTAAGCAGAAGCACTTTATTATTACGTAATGAAACTTCCCACAAAAAAAAACTATACATGAGTTAAGTTGACTATTGCATATACTATACGAAGTTGACGAAACTTTTCTTGTTGCATTGATTAACGCAAAACAATAGAGAATAAGAGGAAAAACCTTCTTCTTACCTAAATGTGCTCGATAGTGCTTGATGAACTCCAGTCCAACACCATCAGCTTTACGCCAAAATTTAAAATGACCATCATTACTACAAGTCATTAAGTAATGAGTTCTGGAATGAAAGAAAAGATTTTGAAAACCCTTATTCAAAAAAAAGAATGGGGTGTGTGATTCATTGAGAATGAAAGCGTTTGTGATATAGGATACTTATACGATCGGTTGCCGGGTGGTAAGTAGCTGGTGAATTTTTCTAGATTCCTGGGTGCCTTAATCGAAATGTATAGATATGTGTGCGTTGTGGTAACTAAACGAAAAGACACACCATTGTTGTACATTGTAATTCAAGTATTAAATGTTAGGGGGTAGCTGTGCGTCGGTGGCACAGTGGTTAGGACTCTCGCCGACCATGCACATGGTCGGGGTTCGAACCCGCACCGACGCACACCTGATATCTATGTCGGCCTGCAAAATTTGGGCTACCGATATCATGCTGAAAATTATACTTGTACCGAAAATACAGTGTGGAATCAGCTGTAAATCAAAAAAAAAAAAATAGAAAGCCCTAGACATACATTTCACGCCTAAAGGAAAAGATCCTTCTGAAGTCGCACATCAAACATAGGATACATACTACTGACTGATATGAGGAGACTTGAAGTATTTACACTGATAAGCAACGCTCGGTATTCAGTTCTCAGTTATCTAGCCAACTGACAACCATTTTCTTTGCTTAGGTCAAAATTTATTACTATATCAAGATTACAATTGTAAGATTGAATATGCTTGCAAACACATGATCAAATTGTATGGTTCATCAGTTTTTCAAGTTGCTGATAAGGCGTCCAACAATCTGGATTCCTCATTTATCTCAAATGAGTCAACCACCATAAACTGCGCCAGCGACTGAAGAAATCTGTAACAAATCAATATTTCAACTCAGTTTATCAAGTGCACTTTTTGTGCTTTAGGATGAATCTGACTGTATTAGTCAAGAATATTCTTTGCCAAACATTACATCTAATCCTAACAACATTTATCACGTCCCTCCACTTAATGAAAGCAACTAAATGAACAAACCTATAGTTAGACACCTCTACTCTTTTCATATCTTTGACTTTCGATGGTAGTGTTTCTCTCATAAAGTGTTACAGAGTCAGATACTGCGTTGTACACATGCTTAGACCTCGACAAGTGGAGAGTAGCTTGAACCTATACGTCAATAGCTGGAAGTCGAGCATGTAATACAAACGAATAGCAATTCTTTCTTTTCCTGAAACAACCACAAGACGAACTGGAGTCAAAGAAATAAGGGATGCAGAATCCTTTCTTTACGTTTTTTGTATCACTTTTTATTATATAATTAGTATTATGATATGCACTTTTCTGTTTATATTGCTTTGTACAGTACACCGCTTAGTAAACGAGATTTAACAAATGTCTTTCTTTTATTTCAATAATAAATTAGCAATGACATGTTTTCAGTGATTCAAACGGATAGTAAACAGACTTGAAGCGTTTGTGTAGTCTGTGAATTTGCTTTCGTCTTTTTCATTCCTTTACGTCCTAGTGAAACAAGTTTGACTGCTAAATTTTCAGTAGTGGTGACGTTTTTTATGGGTGAGGTTGCTGTTCTCATAACCAACCTCCCCTGTTTTCTACGCTTACTGCTGGGTAGGTGAGGGTTTAGGATTGTTTCAGCCTGGAGTCGAATCCGGATCACGTGAACTATGTAGCCAAGTTGAATTTTGACTAACCCATGAAAACAGACTAACGGCTGACGGAGATCAACCGATACAACGAAGAATACAAGATACAGTGAAGTAACTTATACATTCTTTTATTTGCGTAAGCTCTTCATTGAAAAGTGTGCTATCTCCGCTTACGGATGACAGCATCTCATTCTGATTCCATTTATGAATTTCGAATGTGCTCATAAATACTAATCTAAGACAGATAACCCTAATTTCCTTGGATGAATCATACAATGGTGACATCTGCATTATATCTACACGAGACGCAGTACCAAAAAGTCCATTACACAATTTTCATGAGATGAAACAAACAAGACCTACCGATGTCGCAAGACAAAAATTATGATATAAACTTAATGGATACATAAATATACTATTTAAAAGTCATCTGCATCAGAGTAGACAAAGTCGGTACTTTTTGACTACACCTACCGAACACTCTATCATCGTCACATGAAAGACTTCGTAACTTGAAATAGGCATGGTTAAATTGTGATCACTGATATTGCCGAAACTACAAGTAGACTTACTTAGAATAAGCAACATGCGTAATTGTGTTTCTATGCATATAACTTATTTCGTAATATTGAGCAGTTGGGATATTTTTCAGGTAGACAGATTCATCCTTTAGAACTGAAACACAAATTAAAAAAAAACGAAATGAAATTTCTTTTTGGTAAATTAAATATAGTAACTGACTAAATACGTATTTTCATTTAAGCCTCACGAGGATCACTGTTTGCATACAGTAGTATTCACATTGAAAATATGCATACACTGAACGACTTGATAAATCTGTAGTGACAGTTAAATGTACAACCAAAATTGCAAAAAAATAACGAAGATTTAAAAGTAGAGCCCAAATACTGCAACAGTATATAAATACTCTTCATATAAGTGCATTTGATATGAAATAAATCAATGCATTACTACTGAGTAATGTTTTAAATACGAATAACTGTGAATCGTATTGGAAACCTCCCTCAGTAAATAAATACTGTATCATTCTGTTCAATAATACGCAAAATAATTTAAAATAGAATAGTTAAACGAGGTGATATTAGATAGTTGGAGACAATCGGCAGGAAGCCTTGGAACTAGGTTTCATGCTAGTTTGCACTGATCAGCAAGGCGTATCTGCAACCTTGAAGGAACTCATATCCCTAGAATGGTGGCCACATTGCAAAACCTGACTGATAGAATTCAGTCTGCACCAAAGAAAGGACTAGACACGTCACACTAGTTACTAGTGTCCAATCAAAAGTTAAACGAGATGTTTTCGCACCCTAATATCCCTATTAACTAAGTGTGAAGTAGTTAACTTCGTTTCAATACCAAACCCAAGGGTAACACTTGTTAAGCATTAAAAAAACATCATGATTTTTGAATTTGATCCACTAGAAGCTTTAAAAATGGTATACCACTTGGTGCTACCGTTAAACTACGGAGGTGTTTCGAATAAAAACATACAACTTTGCACGATATTAAGAGTTAGTTGACAGGAAGTTACGAGTCTATATTTTCGCCTGTCGACACTCCTCTGATATCCTAATTCATATTGTTCAGTGCCAAATTCAGATATCACTAAGCTACTTAGAAGTCTATTACTGTAGTGACTAGGACCTGTTCTACCAAACTAATAATTCATTCTTTTTTGAACTTTTAGCCACAAAATCACCTTCAAATTATGAAATATAAAGGACGTATAGGACGTTTTAAAAAGAAAATTCAGAGGAAAAAAGAAGTGAATGGAGGATTTTATCATGAGCTGACATCAGTGGGTGCGTACCACTGAAAAGTCCCAAACTAGGACGAACAGCTGTCCAGTACTTCCAGTGGTTCTCTAACTGATGTCAGCTCATGATGAAATCCTCCATTCAATCAAACAAAAAATCCCTACAAAAGCAATACTTGAAAAAAGAATTCCCTCAAGATGTTAGATATAACCTGGATGTAAGTGACAGAAATCACAAAGTTTACATGGAGAATATCTTAAACAGGCCATAAATACAACTTGCTCGTGAAGCAAGAATCCCAGATTCAGAAGTTCCTTCTAACTGCTCTCGACCGTTTGACTTTAAGACCTATACAAATATGATACCCAAAATATCTACGGGCTTTGTTGCCTCTACGCGTTTTTACACTGATTTTTGTATTTTTCCTCAACAAAAAAATGACTGGAATGTAAAAAGCATAGTTAGAATTAGGAAGTGTGTACTAGTGCTATAACTTAAGTAAAAGATAAGGCAGCTGTTCACTGAATTAAAACAGACATTTTCAGTCTGTCACTTTATAAACAACTGCGACATGAACTAAGGAAAAAATCGAAATTATCCCCAAGTCTCACGTATTTAACAAATAAAGTGGTTAACCTTTTGGCTTTTTGGGGGAGCAGGAGAACAGTCATTACTTCCACCAACATCATCAGACTGCGGCATCATTTCAGTTGGTAAAGGGCCAACTGTGTCTTCTCTAGATTCATCTTCGACATCAACTTCATTAGAAATTTCGGTCGGGAAGGGACCAATGTTATCCTCATCATCAGACATGGTCCTTGGTTGAGAGATAAAGCTTTTCCACTGAAATAAGAAAAGATAAAGAGGATAAAAATTGGTGCAATAACATGTCACTTCAAGTGTTCACGGAAAAAAATCACAATAAAAAATCTGCAGGAAATCTCAATTGTGGTTGGGTAACAAAAGCAAATTCACTAAGGAAGCTAACTTGAGACCAGAAGTAGCAAAATACGCTCATTACTTGAGCGACTTAACCATAAATTCTGCTTTGTTAAATCTATTCAGAAAGGCCTTCATTTATTCGTATTTCAAATAGGATTTAAAAATGGGTGTTGTAGTCGGACCACTTTAAGACTACATTCACTCCACCCCGACGAATAATATAGAAGTTTGCGATAGCTATGTACCCACCGAAAGCATTTTCCAATTACCTCAAGAAATACCTTGTTGCCTTGGCAATTCAGCCATATACTAATCACGTGAATTTTCCACGAGACAATAACAGCGCTGATGGTTGAATATTTCTACGTTTTACATACGTCTTACGTTTATCAGATAACATTAACAAAGCAGAGTTATACAAGATATCAGACACTTAAAAGATTCTTGTTTCGTACTACTGTCAGAAGCACCTTTAGAATTTTTAAACAGCTGGCATTTCATCATTTTTAACTAAACATGACTAGTAAGACCTCTACATTAGGCTATGACACTACTCCGTGGACTAAGTTGAAGTAGGCTGAAAGAGACTTAAACTCATAACCTATTGGCCAATGAGCCAATGTAACCACACAATTAACGCTTATGATCAAAGTACCTAAGTAAATTTTTTAAATTTATGTTTGAGAGCCAAGATAGTAGTTCGCCAGAATTTGAAACAAGTGAAACTACACTGTTTCTCTCCCACATACATTAAATGTTAATTCTACACAATAATAATGCTTCGTAAACAAGCAATATTAGTCTTAAGATACTTTTATAACTATTCAGCCAAGTCAAACGGATATCGACTGTTATCTGAGATTGTGAATTCCCTGTTACTTTTTTTTACTGAGGCGAAATGATCGACCTATTGGTGTATGCACTTTCTGTATGGACTCCTCCATATCTTTAATATCCTTTAACAGACTAGAACGCGCATTTCTTTATACTTGTAACTACTCCCCTTTATCCCAATGAGTAGTGTTACCAGATGCTTCAACCTAATACCCATTATTTCACCTATCAAAGTGTTATACAACGAGCTATTGGGTGGTGAGGGCCAATACTTAGGTCGATCATTCAGATCTAGTTCAAAAATACAACAGGGAACACATCCTTATGACAACTGGCGACAAGAAACTTTGTAAACAGAAAAACTCGCTGTATTATTCCTACAAACAATGAATTCAACAAAGCAACATACAATTTTGTGAGCCTAACTGTGATACTAGGTTAATATATGATTTTCACGTGTATACTGAGAAGTGTAAGGGATATAGATAGTTATCAGTACTTTCCCCCAACGTACCCATTAACTGTAGTCTGGAAACAATATTCTACAACTGCCAAATATAGTCGAATTTTCACTCAATAAATTCAAGACATTACATTCCGCCAAAAAATATATCACTTATGTACTTCAAGATCAATATCTACCAACTAGTTAAAGAAAAACTTTAGAATTTTAGTCACAGTCAACAGGGCATCTGTGGCAAAGTTAAGTAAGAATAGGGACAGGAAATCAACAGCACAAACCACTAGTCGCAACAGTTTTACAGTTGAAAGCCATCACCATCTCTCAAACACAAGTTAATGTTAAGCAAATACGTAACATCAGTGGTCATAGCGTACAAATAAAACCTTATCACAGTAGTAACATATTCCCATGACAATAATCAAGAACCCACAATCTTCAGAATAATAAAGAGTGAATATATATCCGCTGTTAGGATTCACTAAGAACACGTTATATTGCATCTGCCCTAGTCGCTTCACAAAAGAAACAGTTAACTCACTAGGTCACTAATCTCGTTTTACCATACAAAAACGTTGGTTACCTTCACCTTACTTTTTTGGTCAACAGGCAAAGTAACCTGACTGCTAATAATCCAACACTCCAAATATGCTGACTGTTTCGAACATAACTAACATAATGTGGGACACAAATGCATTTCGTCTTGGCCTAACGCAAGATATGTGATGATGCCAAAAGAATTTCCAAACAAAAATGCACCTTGACGGAAATCCTGGTCTTCATATTCGTCCGAAGTTTCTGAAGCATATCTATTGACTCGCACTGTGCGTTAAAGTTATATACTTTATTAACGTCACCTAATATCTGCAGGTACTTGCGCGAACACTTTTACATCTCATAAATCACTTTCAGGTCTGGTTAGTATTACCAATTTACTATACAACTGGTACCGCGGAATTCATGATAAATCAGTGGAACTATAGTTCCAGCATACTGAGAAATTACATGTGTTTATGATATTCCAATAAAATCTCTGATGCTTCCTGAATGTTTATAACGAAATAAAAAATTCTGAGAAGAGGTGGAAAACATCCGAATCGTTTTGACTGTCAAACTTGCTTGTTTAGACATCTTTAGTACAACACGTGGTACATTACACCCGATGATGCGGCAATCTTTATTGCTTTTGAAAGTAATTATTTAAAAAGTGAAAGCACATTTCAAATATGCCAATTTGGTTAAGTGTTTAAAAGAAAATAAGTGATACGAATAAAATAAAAACCGTCAATTATACCTAACACAGGCACTCACATTCAAGTAACGCTTTACTTCGTATTGGTAGTAGCTTGTTGAGAGTTCAATTTCCAACATGATTCCAATTAGTTCAGGAACCGAGTCGCATTGTTTCTGTTGTACAAATCTCAACTATACTGCTGTCATCCACTCACATTCCGACGGAGTTTTTTTTCAATTTCAAATGTATAAAGGAATGAAAGGAAATCCTGTGACACTGTCAAGGCTAATGGTGAAAAGAAAACTGGTTAGCAGATATAATTATGAAAGCTGAAAAACTGATGTGGTTTATAATATGCGAGATAGCTACGTCCGAATCATTCGAGCTGCAAGTTGGTGTTACTTCATACCGCTAAGGGCGGTGTACTCATGGCTCAGTAGTTATAACTTGTGGTCCTGGTTTCAGTGGCTCTGAAACAGTGAGGGATATATACATATGTATCTATGTTTAGCTGTGTAGTCAGCGTTCTTTCGTTGGTGTATTTTATTCAAAAAGGTTTTGCAATCAAACTGCCCCTTCACCTTGTTCACATCCATTCACAAACTTTTTGAGACACCTTCCACAGTATTTTTATATGCGACATCAGATTGTATTTAGTCTATGAAGACAAAAAAAGCCTTATCATCGACTAAACTCCGAACAGATCAATTAGATGTGTTGCACCAAATTTGTTTAAGCGCTATCGCCTTCAGCCTGAATATGAGGCCCCGGCATACCATCCCTCACAAAAGTTGTGAAGGCCAACGACATAAATTTGCAGGCTGAGAGTAAGGAGTGGTTTTCTTACTTCAAATGATATTTTTGATGTGAGCGATAGATAGCTCAAGTTATTGTTTATAGCTAACTCAGAAATTAGTCACTATACGAATCCAAAGAAGTTGAGTACAGTGCCTGAATCCTTTCTGTCAAAATAATATTTTGCATTCCTACTTTACACAAATGGTTTAGGTGATTTCATCTTACCACATGTACAGTGCCACATATTCTTTCTGTGTAGTCGTTGTGTGCTCAAAGAATATCTGTTCACTTGATATAAGAATAAAACTTGTGCACTGTGGTTGAGTGTAATTCCATTATGGGTAAATTTTGTTTTGATAAACACTCACAGTGTTATACAGTAATGTTTACTGTTATCAGTAAACATTACGGTATAACACTGAGTGTTTATCAAAACAAAATTTACCCATAGTGGAATCTGTTCACTCGGCTACACCTGATGCATCTACTTCTGCAGAAGCTCTTTCACTTGATGCTGAACCATTTCCAGACACTTGATGTTGGCCCAAACAGTAGGAATTCCAGTATTATCATACGCCTTATCAGAAATCCTGATGACTGCTGCCAAGTGCCAGAATGTGATTCTATCATCCAGGGAAAAACAGTAATTGCATTAGTCGGTTCGAATAGTGGTGCAGTTATCTGACTGATGTACGCGTTTCGTGCCGTTACAAAGTTAATTTCTAATATCTGTTATTGCCAAACCATGTTTTATTCTGACATCAGTATTCTTGAAATGTCTGCAGATAGTTGGTGCAGTTGTTTAATGGACTGTGATCTCCACGTAAGAGATTTAGATGTCTACACTTAGTAGACCATAGATGGAGATTACCTAACGAACCGCTGTACCTTCTGTTGGAGTAGATTTTGTTTTGGGTTTGTTCCCATCTGCAGAGTTGTTCAGCCAAAACTATCATTCACTGTAAGAAAAATCACAGATGTGATTGCCGGACAATATTCCGTGACCACTGTGGGTCTAGAAATAAAAAAGCTTCCATCGAATTCAATTGTTCCTGTGATGTCAGGCGGCCGTAGAATGGTGCAAAGAATAAAAATCAAGAAAAAATTTAAGCAGGTCCATATCCGGATCAGGAAGAACGTGTTGTAATCGTCGGCTTCCATTTACCTTTAACTGTAAGAAGGGAAATGCATCCAAAGGGTAGCTATTTGCACCCCTCGAACGATTTGCATCTCTTTTTTCGTGACTTCGACTAGAAAAAATGAGCTTGATCATTATGTGACTGTCTATCATCCTGAATCTACAATTTTATCACACAACTCGCCTAAGCAGTGTATTCCCAAATGCAGCCCAGCCACCAGACTGCCGTGAACACTGCTAGAGTTAAAATATAGCTCCCGTATCCATTCAAAGGTGCACTGATCTAGTGATAGTGTTGCATGTAGGTATGCAAAACTAGAGGATACAACAGAAGTTCCCCTTTGTACCCTAAAATTCATTATCACCTTCAGCACAAACAAACAAGTTGCTCGTTGCAGGGGAAACAACTGAAATCCAACTGAATTTACGAATTTCTCTGATCTACAGCAACAAAACAGTGAATATTAAATGCCTATAAATCTTTCCACACCTGAACCTTGTGAACTTGGGCCGTCTCCGATGATTGCTCACTGGGATTTTAAGGCCTACATTTGTTAAGAATAGGCCGCTCCCTGAGTTTACTTCAGAAATCTCATTATAGCTTCCAGAACATTATTCAGCATTTTCACATATCAACTGCACACTGATCTGTTAAATCTAATATGTGAGGTCTTACTCCAGAAACCTTTATCCATTATCGTATCTTTGCTTATATATACACATAACGACCTGCTACAGGCTTCTTGACGTTTCAGTGGTCATTTCTTGGCTTTACAGATTCCTTTACAACAGGCTCGACGACGTATGTCCTGTAGGTTAGTTGAACTTGTCAGCGACTCTGAAGATAGGAACGCAAGGCAGATGCGCGTCTAGGTTGTCTTTAGGATGAACACCCAAAATAAGTTTAACCCATAAGACACATTTAATCTTCTGTTAGCCTTTTACATGTTGCAAGCCATTCGTCAATCTTCAATAAATGTCCAGTAACCTGGCATAATGAATATGGTTTCGCTTCCGTTGGAAGTTACAACCTCCACTATGATGTAGCTGATTTCTGTTCAGCAGAAGACTGGACTAATTCGACCAGAGTATATTATCAATAATCATGCTTATATGTATTCCTTGAAGTTGCAATTTTCGAATCGGTAACGTTTCGAAGCTATATTGCAGCCACTCGTGTTTCCATTGTATTTTCGTGCTGACTTCCTAACATTCAAAAAATAAACAACCCCGGAATTATCAGTTTACCTTCTGGTATTTTAGAGTTATTTGCAGTTCAAAGCATTCTGAGTTGATCCCGTTGGCCTTTTGGCAACAACACCAGCATTAAGATTCGTCGCTTGACAGTCTTTGAACCTGGCAAATTTAGACCAGTCTTCAACTGAAACTGTATGAATTTCATTCTCAACCATGCGAAGTCACCACATAACAACACACTACTTTCACCGTAAATTTCGTCATTGTTTGTTGTAGAGTTTAAGACTCTCCCAGTCGACAGAACCCGTTGTCTCAGCTTCTGCAGGTACTCATTGAGGGACGCTTTTTTGAGAACCAAGGCCTATGAAGTGAAGCTCACGTCACTGATATTCGGCGGGTAGCCGTCTGTGTTAACGATAGAAATTCATGCAATGACTGGCTATTTTACTTCTATATAGCCCTCAGTGATGAATATCTTTCTGGGTTCAGGCGTCACTTCTGTGGATTTAGTCCATCTCGCCGTCATTTTATCTGATGCGGTTATATAGTCAAATGTCTATCGCAAAGACCTGTCGCATTTGGCTGTTTAGTTGCACGATATTTTCACGGGAGGTCAACAACATTCCGGGTAGTCCATAACTTCGTCGTATCAGACACTCTATTAGGCTACTGTAGCGCTGTCGAACAGTAGCAATTTCACAATCCTCAAAATGAATTTTACAGCAGTCAGTGATTTAGCTGCACTAATCTTCAAGACGTCAGCACACTTTCTTATGTTTCGAGTTATTCAGAAATTATAATTGTTACCCAGCATGGATACTGAGTACCTCGTTAGGATAGACTTCTCACTGATAAATTAAAGCATTCGTCTTTAGCTACGTTTCACTTGAATGCTTCCCTGTTGGAAATGACTAGCTCTCAGACAGTACATCACCTATATATAAATTATTTACATGTGGATTTAAAAGTTCAAAGTGATCTGAACCCCTACGGAATCCATACTGCAAACAAAACTTTTTTTCCAGAAGTCGTTATCCGGCTCACCGTATACTTCTCGCTAAAGAAGTCTGGAAATACTGTTATAAATGTCGTTGAAGATTGAACGATCAATTCATGGTTGTTTGCTCAAACCCAACTTCATTATATTTTTCGCGGAGACATCGATACACAGTCATCGTCTCATCGGTCGCTGTTCAGAAAGAAGTCAGACCAAAACTGTCAGAAGTAATATTGTGATTTACTATTGTAATATTTGTTCATAGACCTTAGTTGTAAAGCTTAATTTTAAAGTTGGATATATGTTGGTGTTACAATAAAGAATTCTCGAGTAGCCAATCGGTGTTTGGTTTTGCGTCCGTTATTACTAAGCGTTTCTGAGAGCGTTTCTGGACTGCAAATTTACCAACTTTTTCTTTTTGACTACCTGTGTTGGTTCCATATGGCGTGTTCATTCCAATCAGATAGTGGTAACAATCCCTAATTTAACACGACCCTGCATAATTTCATTCACCGAATACTAGCTGCCTAATTGCGTCTTAATCTTTTCCAAATCACCATACTAGTTTATAAGGGTCAAAAGTGTCGAAAAGGTGTTGTTTCCTGCTATTTGTGAAGGTGCTGTAGCGAGTATATATCCGATGCCATGATGACGATTGACTGGCTTTGTCAGGAAGCTTTAACAGTCACAAAATAATACAAATGGACAAACGTAGAACCGGTTTTATGAAGTATCCTTTCTTAAAGTGTCTACGCCTGCTTATTTGGTGGTTATTGTGGGATTACATTATGTAGGCTAGGTATAATAGCATGATTTCTTGAAAACCTGGAGGCATGCATTTGACTTTTGCTGAATCATTGAACCCATTATCTTTGTCAGATACTTGTATGAAGTGTCGTTTTCTGATAAAAGTGCATCAAGGATAATTCAATTCGAGAATTTAATGCCATCGACGATACGTACGCCAGAAAAAGGTTTTGATGCAAAAATTCATCCGAGTACAACCT